TGCCAAAAAGATAATTTCTCAGCGACTCGGTGAAGATGCATCATTCTATGAGCATTACCAAAATTGCAAGGAGAGAGGGAGCCGCAAGATGCAGTGGCACTGAAATGGGAGGAGAAAGAGCAAAAAACGCGGAGGGCGTGAAGAGTGCGACGAAAATGAATATCAAGTTGACCGCAGCGTAGAATTGGCACGCAGAATCAAGATGCTGAATACTTAATTTCCGGTTCCGGCGCGACGGACGAGGAAACTCATCGGCCCATGACGCGATGCGACAACCGTTGGATGGTGCAATACTACGATTTACTTGATTGGCAATTATCACTCTTTGCTCGGGCAAAACCTGGTCCAGAAAACGGTTCCGTCAATGTGAGTTCCCGGTTGAGAAATTAAGCACTGACTTTTATATTCCTCGGGAGAGTAGCGACAGATCTGAAACTCCGAAAGCCCATCAGGCCTGCACCGATGCCTCCGCGAATAAAGTTAGGGCCCAAAAGGGCAGCCAACCTATGAATTTCAATTATCCAGAGCGATTTACTGATACTATTGTTACGAACCGTCCTTTATTAAGCACGTGTTTGACTCAGTTTTTGCATAAATTTACTCAATTTCGCGGAAGAACGCTCATTTCTGTACATTCTTGGCCATCTTGGTTAGAATTTGAATCTGCAGACTGGCAGTGAAATTTTGTGCGTCAGCAGTTGATTAGAAGGGTGGCTGCACTTTTGGGCCCTAAGCCCTCCATGAACCGATCTGTCGCTACTCTCCCTATACAGGTACTCTAGTCAGAGCCAAATATAAAAAACAGCGCTGCTTCCTTTCAATTTTTTCCCCTTTTTTTTTGTCTTATAAGATGATATCAAAACTTATGAGAAAGCAGATGCGAAGTTTACCTTTTTTCCAATCAATGAAACACATTGAAATATCAGACTTTGAAAGACGCTGGTAAAAAGAATAATAAATTAAAGAATGACATATGTATTTCCTACATTAAGACTAAATTATGAAAGATGCTGGTAAAAAGAAGAAGAAATTAAAGGATGACATATGTATTTCCTGTGTGGATGGATACTCTAATTTTCTACCTCTCTCAGAAAATGTCTCCATTCTTAGCTAAAAATGTCCATACATTTTCTCGGTTTTGGAAAGACAATGCTTCAAAATCGTTTGAAAATTAATAAAAAGGTTTTTTTTTTTTTTTAAATTGTTTTCCAAAATTAGGTGGCCTTATACAATATACTCATTGCCTTATGATTCAGATCATTCTCACATGGGACATGTGCATGGTCCCACAAATTCTGCCATGAACATCGCAATTGTTCATCATTTTGCGAGTCATAAAATTTACGGATTAGTTAGTTTACAGTTTTGAAGGTTGAACTTTTGAATAGACTTTTCGTCATGATTAAGATAGGGAAAAGTATACACTGAGAATGAAAATAAAATTGTTTCTAATAACTACCTAATAAGGGCTATTCAGAGCACGAGGAGTAATTCACAGCGGGATTCCCCCACCTACACCTGGGTTGCATATTCCAGAAAGAATTTTTTGTGATACTATTCCGACTTACAGAGAAATCTTTACTGAACATGTTTTTCATACGAGCTTTGCCTCAGAGAAAGTGAAATAAGAACAACATAATTGAACTAGTTCATCAAATATTATTGAAATGCAACAAGATTCAGACCCAAAGAAATGTTGGTGTAACCTCCAAGTATAAATTCTGAAGATTTTACTAGATTCTTGGCAGAATATCTTTTCCATACAAAGTACATTTGTGGTAATTTTTCCGATTCTTGCCGCACAAAACCCTGGTAAAAATTGGCAGTAGAATCTGTGTTCCAAAATACCATAGACCTACAGCCGGCTGTAAGATTTCCAATAGCTTCTATGGCTGGCAACACAATTTCTTATAGCCTTTTATAGCCGATGGCGATTAAGCAACAACCTGGCGATGAAGTGTATGCTAAACCTTACTAATTACGGATGCTACGACTTAGTGAGTTTTTGGACAACCGCTCTCTTTTTGGGCCGTTGTATCTTGATTTATTTTGCGAGGAAAGCTCCGTACTTTTGAAGGATGCCTGCCATTACTAATATGTTGGAGCGCCTTCAATCTCGTACGATACTATGCAATACCTCTGGTGTGAAATAGTTGCTTCAAGCGCCGTGGTACGCTGCGGCGCGGCGCGGCGGGCGGGCAGCCAGCGCGTAACGCGCATTGGCGCCTACAAACCTAACAGGGATACTTCACGCATTGCGCAATGCGTGAAGTATCCCTGTTAGGTTTGTAGGCGCCAGTGCGCCGCCGCTCCGCTTTGTGTTGGGCTCTAATATTTAATTTCGTGGAGTCAGCGTTGTTCAACTCATGACTTTGAAATGTTTGCACACTCTGTATGGATTATTCTCATTTTAATTGATGAAAACAAATATGTAGTAAAGGAAAATATAATGTGCGTTTTGTAAATATTATGGTGATTCCGTACAAATTTAAGGATTTACAAAGCACACGAATTTCTACACAATTTCTTATAACCTTTTATAGCCGATGGCGAAAAGGCAACAGCTAGGTGATAAAGTGTAAAGCCAGGCGACAGGAACTACAGCCCGGCTGCATAATTTTTTATCGCTTCGTGTAGCCCGGCCGTATGATTTTTTCCACTTTCTACAGCCAGCTATATGATTTTCTATCGCCTTCTTCAGTTGGCTATAAGTACTCCTATGGTATTTTGAAACGCAGCTCCTATCGCCAATTTTTACCAGGGAATGCTAACGCAACAGGAAATATTGACTGCAACTCATACGTTTTATACTTACAAATACCTCACTCGCTTACAATTTATGGAAGAAAAAGCAAGAATTTAGAAGGAGTTAAAGTATAAGCGCGCAGATGAAAATGGAAAATTTATGGACGAAAATCTGGATCCTGACGATCCCTGTTGGACTGCTGAGAAAGGTAAGAAATCATTTACTCAATCTTTCTTCACTCATTTTTTTAAATATGCCTCATATTTTTCTCGACGTTGCCACATACTACAGAAATTTTTTTGGAGCGAACATCTATTTGAGCGGCAACGATAATCGGAAAAATTACCACAAATGTACTTTTTGCGGAAAAGATAGTCAGCCAGATTCTTACATTTTGTAAGTTTTAAGATTATTTAAGATAAATTTATTACGCTTCGTTGCGCCCACCTAGTTTGAACACTCTCCTCCATTTATGTTCAGAAACATTTGAAACATCTTTCTTAAAAGTATCATTTTAATATGGGTATTTTTGGTCATGTCTCCCCTCTTAGTTCAGTATCGACCTAGCTCTTTTCTTGCAACCGTAGAAAATTGAGCGCCAAAAAATCGCAGTATCGACGGTGTAAGTCGGCAATCACATTCACATGACTCGGTCTGCGACGTCGCAGACTTCCTGTCATACTTTATTTTTTAAACGGAAAACTACTCAACGGAAATTCTTATATCTGCCGTGATTTTTCGTCTCAGTGTGAAGAAAATTCTGAAAAAACTTCAAGGAATGATGTCACTTCGTTTTCCTTTAAAAAATTAACATAGAGGCGGAAATTTTCAGACACCGTGAACGAGTTATGTGATTGCCAACTTACACCGTCGATATGTAGTCTGAATGAGTCTAAAGTGTAAAGTTTGATGGCAATATCATGAGACGTGCTTGTGAGACTAATAGCAACGTGCTTTTCCATCTCTTGGAGGAAGGAAAATGGGAAATCGGTTGTAACAGTACATTCTCTTGACTCCAAGTGCACACCAACGCCACTTTTACTGTGGTCTTTGATTAGTTCCTAACTGTACTCACTAATTTCATTCTTGGATTCCCATTAACTTCATCTTCGTCTAAGATGACGTCACTTTCTCCTCTTGGGTGGTGAGTTAAATTAGTGGCTGAACCACGAGAGAAAAATAAAAAATGTCACAATTCCTATAAAAGTCAAACATTTTCGTTGTTTTAATTGTGCCGTTTAGGGGGAAAAAACGACGAAGAAATTCATCTGATTTGCAGCTCGCAATTCCTCTCATATGATTTAAATTTAACAGTAGAATTAATCTCCAAAACGGACGGCATCTGCAGAAAATATTAAGGTAATGTTTTCAGAATTAGTTGGATAAAAATATAAAAAAAATGTTTGATTTCCTCGAAGTTTGTGCAAAACATTTACTACTTTCTTTTGTTTTATTCTGGAAAAAGAAAGCTATAAAAACTGGTAACGGTATAAAACTAAACTGTGCTGCGAATCATAAAAATAAGACTCCTATTTTCCAAATTTGTTTTAGCCTCTCTTTACTCTTTTGCCTTGTACAACTGGAAGAGCTTCCAACAATCCTTAGATCTATGGTGATGCAGAGGGAAGTTGCAGAAACTAGACGAGATAAATTTCTTCTTACGAACCACTGCCGTTTGAAATATATATATATTTAAAATTCAATAATTCCGTAGTGTTATATTCATTGTCCTTTTTCACGATGAAAAATAGATTAAAGATATGTCCATTGTCACCATTAATAGACTAAAACGACGCTTCTATGCGAGGCTTTTTAGATTTCCGGATGCGGTGCGAATGCAATAGTGTTTGAAAAATTCAGATACAACTATTCGTGCTCGATGGACGCACGTGTTGCATTGACAAAAATTGAAGGCTCTCTGACTTTTCGTTGCCTTTGGTGATTATCGCGTCTCTACTGTGCAAAGTCTCAAGTGAAGTCTTCCTCCGATTCGTAAATTGTGGAGCAGAGAGGTACAAAAAGCCGCAACTGACTTTTTTTATCGCGTGCCATGCGAGATGGCTTAAAAAATTCTACACAGATGGTCAGATTTGTAAGTAACGTATCATCAATTAACAATAGCGCACAAGAAAAATTGTTGGATGACTTTTGGCGGACCTTTCTGGATTACAATTCCTATATTCTATTTTGCTGGTTTGCCATGGAATATACGGGCACTAAGAGAGGGAGAAAGAGGGTCAAAAATGCAAAAGTGTCTTTAATGAAAGAACCATTTTATTAAGAATAGAATTACAAAAATACGCGACCAAAATTTCAAAAATGGCTGGAAAATTTATTTGGATAAACTGAGCTTATATTATTTCTTTTTATGACATATGATGAAGGATGGCTATAGTCTGTAAGGCATTTAACTTTTATTTTATATAAGTTATATATGAGCTTATATTTTATAGGCAAAAGAAATAGTCTGTTTTGACACATTTTTCATGGCGTTGAGGTGCTAATTCAGTTCAATACAAAAGTAAACGGTGTCCTTCCTGAACAATAAAAACATTATAGAAAAGTCAAAAAAGTATACCGTCTAGATAGCTTGAATGAATAAAATTCCAACAATTATTGGCTTATTAATAATTATTCTATTGTTATTGTTTCTCATCCATCAAGAGCATAGCTACAATCAACGGATTTTGATGAAATTATAAATTAAGGGGAAATTTATGACGTCCCGCAGGTTACAATTTTCAACCCTAAATAATTGCACTAAATCAATCTTAGGTTCAAAATACTAAAATTCATGTATCCCAATCGATAATAATTTGTCATCAAACTAAATAATTTTAATCATATCGAGTGACCGTAGGTGGACCGGGGGAGGGGGAGGCGTAGGGGATGTACGTCATCCCGTTTGGCCAGAAAAAAGGAGGAAGAAAAAGGGACGGAAGATACAAGAAAAAGGGAAGAAACGGACGAAAGAGGAGGGAAGGACTCTTATATTTGGAAATAATTCATGACGAAATGGACTCAAATTGCACGTTAAATACTTTAAAATTTCTTCAATTTTCGGAGGAAAGTCCCCCCGGATCCCCTTTCCACCCCCTTCGTTAGAGGTATGTGGATCCGCGTTTGTAAGCAAATGTTGACGAGTTTTCAATGACATTGGGCTGAATCTTAAGAGGGGTCCTTCTTCGCAACTTCAGAGAAACTGAACAAACGGTTAAAATTAGAAAATTAGAACATTACGAAATCAGAAGAAATGGCTGTATTAATTTGGCCAGATGTTTTGACAACAAATACAACGATAAAGTTATTATGAGTTAGGTTATCCTTCTTTGAATTCAACTGAATCTTTTCCCCGCCTCCCTATCATTCGACGTCAATAAAAAGTTTAACTAAGGAACACTTCTAAGTAACTTTCAAATTGGGGGGAAAAAATCCTAGAAATCGATTCTAGTTTATTTTAAATAAATTACTTTTTAAGCGACTAGAATTTCTTCCCGGAAAATATCTAATGGAAGTACCGCATTTTAATTCAAGTGGGAATCTCTCGTTGAGCATTGATTCAAGGAACTATGGATTCACGATAGGTTGCAGAAAGAAGTGTTGGTCGGTATTCTCATCGATGACCGTCCATGTCTCGGTGTCGAACACCAATTTCGGGAGTTGGATTTTTTTGTGGCGCTTGACGCGCTCGTTGACATCGGGTTTTACCGTGGCCGCTCTCTGGTTCATTCGGTGGTTTTTGGTTGAAGGTTGCGGCATGGCGTAGTCATGGCTCCTCTTCGTTTCACTCATCTTCATCATCTGCGGTTCCTTTTGCGACTCTGAGGCCATCCCCTAAAACATTCAATCAAAAATATTTCTTCAGTATTGTGACAGTTCTCACATGACCTTTGCACTCGACAAAGTTGCGGATCAAATTCTTCGGGTAAAATCTGATCTTAACCTCGCATCCCTCCCCAAGATCAACCTATCCAAAAAGTGGCCACTTCGAGCACTTCTGAATAAAATTCCTATCCTGAGCTGCATGCTTCAGCAGTTATTTAAAACATGTAATTATTTTGGCACTTAAATAATAATTACCGCTGTAATTAAGCAATACTTAGCAGTAATTATCGATAAAAAATGGCACTCTTGGGGTTTAAGTAGTAATAATAATTGTAATTTTAAAATTCATCCACCATTTCAACAGCAACCTCATTTTACAGGGTAATTTCGCGACATTTTCTATTTTGCAGCCGATTTGAAGAGATGATGAACTTAAGTAAAAAAATTGAGTTTTTCAATGGTAAATTGTGATCTATTTTTAGTTTTAATTTTATTTATGTTTAAGTATAGTTTAAGGACACATGCTTTACCTCATTTTCATTGCTCTTTCGTGCTATTTCGGACAATACTCATCAGTTTCATTTTGTGTACTTGGTTGATCGGTTCTAATATTCACTCAAGACGATTGAAACCTGACAAGATTTACATGACATTGATGGTTGCTATCGAGAAAATTGTACTTTTTTATCTTCATTTTATGCTTAAAATACCGGGACGAAAAAATTAAATCTTACCGGTTGTTCTTTGTCATGGCCACCATGATTAAAGTCCCAGTAGTGTTCGCCGTAGCTTCCTCGTTTGTCACCCCATCTCACCTAAAATTAAAGACATGCAGTTGATTAATGATTTGCGCATCTTCTGTGTAATCAAGAGATACATTTTGTCGAAATTAGTTTTCGATCGATTAATGTATAATCTTCCCATAAATTGAGTTATTTTACCTTCTCGTAGAAAAATACAAATTTTAAGTTAGATGTGAATCTTTAAACATATGGTATGATATTTAATCAACGGGAAATTTTATGCATAGAATGTCCTATATTTGGCGAACCAAGGTGGGTGCCGTTGAATTTGACCATGATCGAGAAAAATCCCTTCAATTTGACATGGCACAAAAAGTACATCTTATGGATTCAACTATAATTGATTTCATGGACCGCAGCATCTATTTTAATGTTTGACATGCTGCCTTATTCCTATTTATCTATATGCCAGTATAAGGAGTTTTTTTTTTTTAAACTGGAGCTTTATTATAACCTCTCCTCCAGGCTCCCTTTTGTAAATCATAAATTCTAAGGGACAAACTACCTTAAAAATGGCATGTCATGCTTGTATACTCATTGAACTCATACCTTTCCTTGAAATCTGTTATTTTCATGGTCTTTTCGCTCATAGCGTTGCTCCCATTCATTCGGATCTTCCAAGACATGCCCGAATTCTAGCTGCTCCGGGCCAGTCTCAAGAGAATACACATCCCTAAAAGAATGATAAAGTAAAATTAATATCTCTAAGGCAGAGTTTTGCATAAAAATAAGAGGGGTTAAAACTAGTGATTTTTGGACTGCATTCTGGATTTTGTAAAATGCGGAATCTGTTGATCTTTCGATGCTCTTTTTGTGTACTTTTCAGAAAATGAAACAACAACGCTTATACCATAGAAATTCATCGCTCTCCTGACGCAGTGACGATTTTGCAAGTTAGCAGCACTGTTTTTTCTTCATCTAATCCATTGAAAATATCGATTTTTGGTGAATCAAGGTACCTAACTAAGAATCGATTGTTTTACATATATTTAAAAGGAAGAAAACAGTGTTGCCACTTTTCAAGAATCGCCACTGTCCTGGGGTAAGGGCGTAACTGCATTTTGAGACAAATTCTGTAGTCCGTATATAACTATATTTTTCAGGACTCCCATCGAAACTAAGTACGCCCATTCGTTACAGGAGTGACGAGATGTGACATATTTCGGTTTGGAATGGCGAACATGGCATTAAAGATTCTTGCAACATTTTAGCGAGGATATTTTTATTTGTCACCAACACACGTATAATAAAACGTCAGAGGCATTATACATGTTTTGTTTTAAAAATCAATGGATTAATTAAAAAAATGTGTAACTCCTAAACGTCGTAAGAATTTGCTCCTTGTTTCATTTTTGTTTGAAAGAAAATAATCAAGTAACATTCCTAAGCTTAACTTACTGTTCGCTTAATAGCTGGAAGATTAATCTTCAAATCACGTAAAGTATCGACTTCAACAACTAAAACACGAATCTCAAGCGTCATTTCTTAAAATACGGGTGTCGTCTACTGAGGTATCCTGTTAATTTTTTCGAGGAACACCAATGATGGAAAATTGCTGATTTATTGCACCTTTGAATTCAGTGTACATTTAGCTTTAATTTCAACCGAGGTTTTTTAAAATTGGATCAACAGACAGGAATCGCCTCAGAGACTTTAACGCTGGTATAGAAAAGCAAGCGTGCTATTAAACGCAGGTTACTCGACGCATGGAGACACTAGTGTTGATTTTAATTCGATCATGCTGCAACATACGAGTGATTGCAAGACGGCAAAATGCAGCGATCACTTCGGAGACTTTAACGCCGATGCACAAAAGTAGGCGTGCCGATAAACATGAGTTGCTTGACGCAGGGAGAATCGGAGACCTTACCATTCAAAAATTTGCTCTTGTTGAACCACAAAAGAGAGTTTTAGATCCTAAGTTTCATGCAATAGTTCTCTGCTTACATGCAAAGAACAATTTTCGCCAATTTAAGCTCCAGGCGAAAATCATATTTTGCCACATGTCGTCTCATTATGGCTGCGACTGGGGCAAAATTGCGGGAGGGAAGGATGATTTGTAAAACTTGTTTTAGGAAAACTGCTAATCACGTGAAAATTTTTAAATACTTGTGTCCGTGAAATAAGTTTTAGAACTTTAGTGGCAATCCTGTGTGCCCCACATGCCACTTCGATCAGTCAAATACGCGATTTGCAATGCGTGCAACTCGTTACAGTTGTGAGTTCTTAACTATTCGAATGAATTTTGGAACCTCAATTTGAGGTAATAGAGTTAAATTTTGAGAGAAACCCTCATTTTGTATGCATGCTCACTAGTTGTTACGCAAATATTCTGTTCAAAAAAAATAAAAAGATGAATTTGACAAAAAATGGTGCAATTAGAGGAAAATGAAAATGCTCAATTCAGAACCTCATAGAATTGAAAATCTTTTATGCGATTTGGACGATTCTTCATCATTTTTACACTGTAGGAATACTTCTAACCAGCCACAGACGGTTCCGAAGTAAAAAATGTTCCCGTTCCATCGTACTTAACATCGTTGCCATAATTAATGAACGTTCCGATAGTTGAAATGTATCACGTAAGATAATATAAGACGGAAATGTAAAACGAAGGGGTTAGGACGTAGTCAAATTCGGTAAAAGTGTAATACCCTCAAATCTCGTTGAATACATTTTCAATCAGGTTTAAGTGTATTTATTTTAAACTGGCTTTTACCGTAAATTTTCTTAATTGGAATTTCATTTCAATGAGTGGTTTTAGGGAGGGGATTAAAGCAGAATGTTAAGGTGCTCAATGGCTCAATGGCTCCAAGGCTTGTGGTTCGATAGAGATCAGTGGAGGTTAGGAGTCGTAGAGCGCGAGGGAGTCCTATAAAGCGACCTATATATGTACATAGGTTGTCCCAAAAGTACTGCACGTTTTTTTCTTTTTGACGAACGGTAGTAGATATCAAAATGCGGTTTGTGTAGTCTTAAAGATCGGCCAATTACCGGTAAAACAAGACAAATCCGAGCTCTCTAAGTCAAAAAATGACCAAGTTACAGCGTTTTGAAAATGACTTGTAGAGGGGCCCCCCTACGGGATTTTCAGCTTCTTTTCTAGAAAAAAATAAAGAGTTGATTGGTTTTTTTTTGGACAAACGGTAGCAGATATCAAAATGCGGTTTGTGTAGTCTTAAAGATCGGCCAATTACCGGTAAAACAAGACAAATCCGAGCTCTCTAAGTCAAAAAATGACCAAGTTACAGCATTTTGAAAATGACTTGTAGAGGGGACCCCTACGGGATTTTCAGCTTCTTTTCTGGAAAAAACAAAGATTTGATTGATCAAAAATTCTACAGAGAAATCGTCGCGATCGAATGAAGTTGGTAACATGATATCAGCCCGGACCTTGCACCCTGCGATTTTTGGTTATTCCCTACGTTGAAAAAGGGCTTAAGAGGCAGGAAGTTTAACTCCATCAACGAGATGAAAAGAGCTGTTGAAACTTTCTTAAAGAACATTAGGCAAGAAGAATTCGAAAAAACCATCTTTGAAGAATTGGGAAGAACGGTTGCGGCGCTGTTTGGCAAGTGATGGAGGGTATTTTGAGAAGAAACTAGTGTCCAGTCATCCAGTGAAGAAGAGTAAATGCTAGAATCTTGGTAAGATTCTGCAAAATTGATTTAATAAAACCACTTGAATCCTTAATTCTTTGTTTTTTTCTCCAGAAAAGAAGCTGAAAATCCCGTAGGGGGGCCCCTCTACAAGTCATTTTCAAAACGCTGTAACTTGGTCATTTTTTGACTTAGAGAGCTCGGATTTGTCTTGTTTTATCGGTAATTGGCCGGTCTTTCAGACTACATAAACCGCATTTTGATATCTACTACCGTTCGTCAATAAGAAAAAAACGTGCAGTACTTTTGGGACAACCTATGTATGTATTTCATTTCAATACCTTTTGTTTGAGCTGCGCAGGGAGATTTTCACCCAATGAAACCTCCACGTATTGATATTTCATCACAACATAGTTCCCCATACGAGGAGAAAGAAATATCACATAACTCAATTAATATTGACGTTAATCGAATATCAGGAGTATCGTATCTACAGTTACATGACGTGACGCACTTAAATGCAATCCATTCAACTCACATGAAGTACTCCCCTTTTCCTTTTCCTGTGTCTTCGTTTCCTACCGCAACTCTGCTTTGTTCTGGACTCTGGTCTTTCGGTTGACTCATTGTGGGCATTTGTGGGTCATTAGACATTGCCTCCTTCATCTCTGAAATCGAAACATAGCGATATATCAAATTCTAGCGGATCAAGTTTTCGTTGTGTGATATTCTCTTCTCGTTAAGTTTTCGTTTCTATAACTTCACAGCCGCCATTCTATCGTAAATTACAAGATTGACATGGAATTACGGACTACTGCACGGGATAACATTTTGATTCCCGCAAAAGACGTCACACATTGTCAACAATTGTATAATCAACTTAAGAAAGAGAAATTAAATTTAATGCGTGCATAAAAATCTGCGATTCCAAAATGTCCGCGGAAGGGGGGGGGGTCCGCTAACTTGGCAGTTGACCATGAACTTCTAAACTCGGTAAAAAACGAAAATTTGGTGTAGCGAAAATGTCCCTCCTCCCTTGATACAAAAGTGCGCGTAAAATTGCCAAAAAAAATTCAACTTACTGGGAGATGGATTTTATTATGATGCAAACTAAAATTGACTTGCCCTCAATATGACTCGAGTTTAGATAAAAATTTAGACTCGGAAATTTTCAATGTTCTCGCTGATTACCGCGTGAAATTCTATTGAGGAATGTGTATCCACAAATTTTTACCCTGGTTATCCGTTAATTTTTAAAGTTCGTGCCTCCTTCGCGGCAAGATTTCTCTCCAAAGACCACCGTTGTTCCTCTCAAAGATTCTCCGTAACTACTATGCGTCAACCGTATTTTTTGAGACCGATCTCAATGTAAAATTACTGTGTCGCGTAAAGTTTTATAAATGCAATCCAACACCATACTTTTGGCTAGATTATTTTTAGCTGCTGCAAAACCCATTTTGAGTCAAATACTACATTCTAAGAATGTAGATTTGAATGATGGATTTGTAGATAAGAATGTAATTTCTTTTTTTCTTTAAAACAGTGTATCAGATTAAAATGAGGATCCGCCCAATTACCTGTATTCTTCATTTGTTTTGGCATCCGGATCATGACTTTTCGATGAGTGGTGGAAGCGGCAACTCCGATGATACCCAAGAGAACAATCTTGCAAGCCATCTGAAATATCAAAAAAATTTACAGAGTTTAATTCTGTTTGCCGCGCAAAAATATATCCGTAAAGAAACAAATTGGTCTTAAGAATTTATTTTATTGAATTAGTCATAAGCTTAAAATTCGAGTTCAAAATCATGAATCAGATATTACTTAGAAAGTCTCTGGTTGAAATAAGCTCTGTGATACTATCATTTACTTGTGTACTCTACGCCGCTTAACTCCAGTTCTTTTCCCACCAATAGCAGCCAAAGGTTCTTTACCTTCCCTTTCCTTATGATTGCTTGTGATAGGGCTATAAAAATGAAGTCACATATATATTTTCCGTGCCTTTGCTTCTTGGAAAAAAATATATTACAGCCGGTAAATTTGCAATTAAATGCGTGTTCTTTTATTGGTTCTATGAAATGAATCCGACGGAAAAAAATTATTATCACATGGTTTAGCTTCATCATCTTACCTGAAATTGTTTGAAATCAATCAGGTCACTAGCACCAGTTATATTAGACCCTGATTTCAACTGTGATAGACAAACTCAATAAATGATTCAAAGTTTCGGCTGAATTTTGACCAACGTATCGACTAACAGATCAGTGTGGACTCTGGAATTAACATGAGGGAACTGACAATACAAAAATATCAAAAGGGAGTGTATTAAAATTCGGACTTTATCACGCGGTTAAGACAGTAAAAATGTCAGGTGGAGCACAAAACAATCAAAATCCGTGAAATTTTATAACTATTTCAAACGTTGCAAAAGTGAGGCTAAAAGGATGACCGATTAGGAACGAGGTACATGAAGCTCGTCTCTAGGCCGCGGCTCGTTTTATACGGCTGATTCCCGACTGACGCTGCTGATTCGGTAATAAACAGATTACTGATCAACTGATCGCGCATCTGCGTTTAGCTCCCCAACCAGATGGGGTCAGTATTGCCAGCTTCCGTTGAAAAGTCAGCGGATTTCCACGCAAAATACCTGATGATAATTGTCAACAAGAAACCACTCCACAAAATTTCATTGCGGAAGAAGCCCTGAGAGGGTATCTGAACATTTTCTCAGAACATTTTCCTTTGTAGCCTTTTTACTTTGAGGAAAAAAGTGCGGCCAAATGAACTGTAAATACCTACAATGTTGTATTTCAGCCATACTATTCGGTTCATGTAACTTTACTCTCGGTTAAAGGAACCGTTTCATCGGTTTATTCAAACCAAACTTTTCCTATACTTCAGTTCGGTTTGAAAGCTCGGTTGCTTGCACCGAAGATTAGATTCCTAAAACCAAAGCACGGTTGAACTGAATAAAACGGTCCATATGCAACACGGTAATTACTTAAGGTTCATATTAACATAGTATTTTTCCTCTGTGTATATTTGATTTTTATTGTAATCATGCAGTGATATATTGGTCTCCGCTTAGGTACGTTAAATAGCTGAAATAAGTGGCATACCTGCGTAGTCGCAGAATTGAACAGATCTTGCATCAGAAAAAGTCAGTCGATAATTGAGTTGATGTCTTCCAGCCTGAGTCAGTTGATGTTTTCCAAAACATTTTCAATTTAGAAAAATGACGGAACTTGGTATATTGAATGATGAAAATGCGGCTAAGAGAAAAGCTCTTTCATAAATGCTTTACTCCTAGACACTAAACTCAAAACGACGACTCGTCTAAAAAGTTAGAGCGTGCGTTACAATATACGTATTTAAAAAAATTTATACACGTGCATTATGTTTTGGAAATGAGATGAACGAAAATTGATCACTTTCTCTTGCCTATAATTTTTTACATGGGGGTTGTCCTTGTTTGTAGGTGCGTAATTAGTCGGGCATATGAATCACACTGAATTCGTCAGAATATCCATGAAAGAAGCTAGGGTGAAACAGACAAACAAGGCTCATATTTCGCGATTCAAGACACGAGGCGCGCACTTGAGAAACTGGTCATGGATTAGAACAAGAATATGAAAGCATGAACAGATCATATGATCACAGTGAAGACGAGCGGGCTGAGCTTTATTGAAGCTGTAAAGGTGTCTCTTTCGCCTGCCTGGTATAGAATGATTTTGTTTAGAAAATGCACACGTCAGTTTTACGGTATTATGTATCATCAGTCGATCTTCAAAAGATGAAAGTTCAGATCGTTCAGTTCAGATTGATATCATGCAAACCATTGCTGGATGAAACAATGGTGGAAAATTTTTGCCAAAAATTTTCAAATTCATTACATCACATTGGCCGTCTGTATTTTGCCGCCCCCTATCATTCGTTTTGAAACATTAATAAAAACCATCAAGTGAACGTGCCGTAGGGGGAGGCGGAGGAGTGCATAAGACGCGTTTACCTACTCGTGTTGGATACATTTTTTGCGAAAGCCCTGTCAACACTACTAGCAAAATTGCACGGGTTGCTCCTCCATTTATAAGAAATGAACCAAAAAATTATGAAAGAACAAACACAACTGTGGTATTATAATTTTAACTTCCGCCGCTGCGCCGCACTGATCGCACTGTGTTTGGCGCAATGCGTGAAGTATTCATTCAGTCTTGTAGGCGCCAATATGTGTTACATGCCGACCGCCGCTCCGAGGGCTTGTCCTTTTCATCTCAAGTCCTCGTAATCATTCCTCTCTGCGCTAACCTCCATGCCAAATTACGTGTTTAGTTCCTCTCTTAACTCGACTAATTAAAGATACTGTCTCTTGTATCACCGAAAAACGACAAAAGTAGAAATTACTATACTCTCAGGAAAGAGAGATTTTGCCCCCTTTTCTCATTGATAATTTTGTTTCTGAATCCGATTTTTTTATACCTACATATAAAAAAATTGCAAAATTTGCCGCCCCCTAAATTTGCCGCCATTGGCCACGGCCCATGTGGCCAACCCCTTAATCCAGCCGTGTCTCGACCTCAAACAGAATTTTCCTTTGTAATGAACAATTATTTTAATTTCCACCATAAGGCACATCCTGCCTGACCTAATCACCTATACCTACTGTCACGAAATATTCTTGGCGTTTATAGAATTTTCACCCTTGCAGAACCAGATCGCTATTTTCACATTCGAAATTGACAGAGTTCTCGAGGAAAATGTTGAAATGAGGAAATTTACATCGTTAAAGAATGCTATTTTAGTGAAATATGGCAACATCTAAGCTTTACGGTAGAAATGAGTCAATGAAAGAGCGCGTACGCATCGACGGATGAGGAAGCTGCGGATTTTACGGGCAAAGCCGCAAATTGGCTCCATTAATTTTTACGACGTCCAACCGCGCCAGGTGCTCCGAATGCATTGGCCTGGCCAAACTGAGGAAGAATTTCAGATGTGGTTGGAGAGCTGAAAAATGGGGCCAGAACTCATTGATGAACCTTTAGAATTGCGCATGATTTTCCTATCAAAGTTGCACTTCGACACGGATCGGTTTTGGGAGGTTTGATAATGGTGGCAAATCGTCGTAGCTCCGACATAAGGGCGTATCTCGATTCACGCATGAGCCCCAGAAAGCAGGGATTCATATGAAAAACAAGGCTCACGTGGAAATTGATGTACACTCTTATGTCAGGGGAACGTCGAAATAAGACACGAGATCCGTTACGACCGATGACGATGCGGGCGACGAACCTAGTAGTTGGACTTCGTTTATTTGCAATTAGGAACTACATTTTCCGGCTCATACGTAAAAACACACAGGGAATCTAATGGACGTGTTTCTGCCAAACAGAACTATGTGAATTAAAACATGAGCCCTGAGAACCATAAAAATACATGCATAACAGAGCTCACGTCATAATGCACATAGTTCTGTTTGGTAGAAATACATCCTAATGGTACATACGTTGTTCCTAAGCTGAGCCACCAACTGTGGTTCCGATTTGCACAATTTTGTCCAATCGAGTTTTGCCGTTCGCGGGAAATAAGGGGCTGGATCGTCTGCAAAATTCCGTCGTGTCCGTCTACAATTCGTCGCCTGGCTGATAGAAGGGCGTAACTACCCATTGAGATGAGTCCGGAAAATCATTAAACTGTGCGGACGCCAGGGCTCATTGCAGAGTGTTTACGCCTTTATGTCAGCCAAGCGACGAATTTTCGATGTTTTTCGTGGTAATTAAAGGTGAATCATTCGTTTGGACCTCTAAAAAAAGTGGGCCAGGAGTGAAAAAAGCAGATAACGGAAAGAGCAAATCTCGAACACCAAATCAGAGTCTCTAGGCGACAGATGAAGCGCGATGCGATGCGATGGTTCGACTCGTCGGCGCTAAAAGCATATTAGCGCCTACGAGCGTGCAAGAATACTTCACGCATTGCGAAAAAGTGTATTGGCGCCTACAAGACTGTATGAATACTTCACGCATTGCGCGTTCACCACAACGTGCGCTTCAATAATTGTTGAAAATTTTGAATATCTTGGTGCCAGACCTACCGCGGTCCACGCCATTTCCGACAAGTGCACCTCGAGCCGGCAATCCTGCTTTGTCAGTTCTCTCAAATTAATGAATGTATGGTGTTTCTAATAAGAAGTTTTGCTCTCTGTATATATTATTGGATGACATTTTCCCGTAGAATTGATTTATTTTTGAGCTACAAACAAAAAAACCGGTCGCCGGCGGCGTATTTTGGCCCTCCATGCCCGCCTTTTTCCGAGGTGACGGCCTTTGCGGAGAGCCGATTTTGCTAAAATTTTGTCAGGTTGTTCTGGTATTTGACTAGTGTTATTGGCAACATGTTTCCGCACAGAAACCTTCAATATATTGATTTTCCCAAAGAAATGCTAGATTGACTGGACTGATTATGTATTACATTTACTTCATAATTGCGTTTCTGTGAAATTGTCTGGAAATCCATCTTGTTTTGAATACATTCGTATGTATCAGTTAAAAATATAAATCCATGCCACTATCTTAGACGCAAACTGGAGGAACGCGAAATTTTTGTTGCAGAAACTTCTATTCTCTTATAATTATAACAAGGAGTTTCACGATCGGAAATAGTATACAGAAAAATCAAATTCAGAGTCTGAAGAGATACCTTCAGAGCTAAGGATGGCTGTAAAATTTTGCTAAAAGATGGATATTATATCATTCCTCCAGTCTCTTTTTCAGTATTTTTCTCATATTAAAAACTCCGACAGACAACTTAATTTTAATTTCAATTAACAAATCAAGCCTTTTTTTTGTACTTACCTTAGTTTCTTATCTGAAATTTAAGAAGTCGTTCCCTTGTCGTACATTTCATTCTTTTTTGAAAAATAAATTGATCCACCGTGTTAAACAAACATCCTTCAAAAATCTAGCTGAACCATTTAACTGAAATTTATTTGAATCTTCAGAATATCAGATTATTAGCAAAAGATTGCACGTTAACTGAAGTCAAATTCGCAAAGGACAACCATTTCCCAGACTAACTCAAAATAAAATAGGTTTATTGATTTTCTAGTTTATTGTCTTTAAATTATGTTTATACAAGGTCATTCTCTCCGAGCAAGATTATATAGCATCACGTCCATGATAGTGGACTCCATGCTCACCCTTGATATATTTGCCTACGCATCTCGTCCAAGATCTTGGACCCCATGCTCATCGCTAAACTTCTCACTTCCTTGCTTGAGCATGGAGTCCAATAGCAAGTAGACGTCTCTCAGTTTTAAAGTTTATCATGATAGAAAATCGTACACTTCTCTTATCTACTCTAACTTGAACTAACATAACCTAACCTAACCTAACCTAACCTAACCCAACATAACCTAACCGAACCAATGCAAAATTGTTTGAGAAAAAAAACTTTTTTTCGTCTTCATTTCACAAAAATTGTCTTAATAAATTTGTGGACCACATGCTCGTGTGTTGTCAAAAAATACCTGCATCCCACAATTTTGGACGCTATGCTAACTTCGGTTTTTCAAAAAAATCATCCCTATGCCTAGTTAAAGTGAGCATGGAGTCCAAGATCTTGGACGTGATGAGCAACCGAAAATATATAGCTGAGCATGGAGTCCAATATCATGGACGCGATGCTACATTACCCCGAGCAAACTCTTGGAAATGTGCTATTTTCCCATTTTCACCGAATCGTACATCGGTGAGTGACTAAGCGAGAGCTATGTCTCTATTTAAATACTCAGTTTCTCGCGAAGAAGCAAAAAAAAAAATAAATAAAAGTAAAAATAAAATGAAGCATGCGTTTGAAGTTTTGGAATCGGAATCATCTTTTCATTGAGAATCATCCTCAGGAAGATCTGAATTTTTTTGCTGAAAAAGCGAGTGTCTTTGACTAATAATTAGACTGATTAAACATGACATCCTGTGAAAACTTTGCTTTCATCATTGCAATGACGGAAGATATGTATTATTTAGAAAATTGAAGGTCATATGTCTGACTAATGCAACCCGATAACGTAAATTTTACACTTGCTTGTTAAAGAGGAAGTCAAGAGTTGAGGACAATGTAAGTTCTTGAGGTTGCACAAAATGACGGAACCAGAAGCGTTTTAAGGGTGGCCGTGACTCGAAAGAAACCTATGAATGCGCGTTGCCTATCTGCATCACGCACGCAATAAGGTGAGAGGGTAAAAAATCAAAAGCTCCTTCAATTTTTAGATAGGCAACGCGGACATCTACAGGACACGAATAGTTGTATCCAGTCCTGGCATCAACACGTCCTCCTCTGCATGTTAAGTTGATTGACTCAGAGACTAGCTTTATCCAGTTGAGCGGAACTGTACGGGCGCTTTTATGTTTAGAGGAACATTTGCAAATGAGTTAAATCAAAAGGAGCTATGTGCATAGGATTTTAGTGTTTTACATGTACAATTCCTTCAGATTTCATTCTTTAGAAGATAATCTTCAAAGATATCGACATTGAAACTAGAAAATCTTGTGCCTTGATTCAGAGCGTTGTAAATACCTTGCCTTATGTCCTTCTAATGAAAAACCGTTTTTAAATTGAAAATTTTAGAAAATTCCCTTAGTATGAACAAACAGTCTCTACAGATATTTACAAATATTCAATGGTTCCGTTTGAAAACAAATAAAAGCCAGTGAAAATAGACAAACGCCTCAATTGGATTGCGATTTTCTTTCTTTTTATGGTTTCATCATCGATATCTCAGAGAGATGATTTATCGTCTGTACTTGACATCATTTATACGCAGTGCAATACAGTATGTGCAATTATATAGAACATCAAAGTTTTATTTACACGACTCGTAAAAGCACTTGAACATAGCTGTGTACCTCAACTTAAAATTAAAGGGCTTTAAATCGGACTGCACAGCCAAAATTTGCAACAACTTTTTTTCTCGAGATTTGGCTGTGTGACTTATGTGGCACATACATGCGGAATGATGGAATTCCGTAATTTAGAATCTAAACTGACTTCCTAAACTATATAACTCACCCAGACTTGCCTTGTACTCATTAATTTCACCTTTGAAGTGTCTCCACTGCCTTCTCCAATCCAAGATTATGGCTTTTAGTATCATTGTGTACACACTGCATGTTGGTATGATTTTTATTAGGCAGGAGCTATAATTTTCCTCCCAGCATGTTGAATAAATTATTAACAGAAATCACAATTTTACCGAACTTTATCTTTTTTATTAAAAAAAAAGAAAAAGGGATTGCGCTTTAATTCTAAAGTAAAAAAAATTACCATAATAATGTACAATATAAAAGTAAATGTACTGGCATTTTTACATTCGACAACTTTCAATAAATTAGGACACTGGATGATAGTTATATCATCTTCTTACAAAAATAATATATTCTCAGAACTCATCATGTCAAATATGATATTAACAAACATTCATTTCACGTTTCTGTGCCAACAAGAAGAAACTTATGTTTGGTTCAGCTGTCATTTTATTTCAACACCTGCATTATGTGGACAGTGTTTTAATTTGCCATTTTGCTATAAAGTAAAAAGACATAACGATTCCCTGACTTCGTGCATTATACCTTATCATAGGAATACGATTCATCAAGGAGATGAAAAAGCATAAATGCATATAGCAAGATAAAACCGCATATTATATTTCTGATGGGTAATTTTGCAGGTATTTTTGAACATTTAGCAGAAATGTCATCAGCATGAAAAGAGCCTATAAAGTTATAAGATTTCCAATATCTTTACCTATGTTAGTTTTTAAAATTAAAAGTTTAAAAGTGAAATAGATAAGTAGATACTGCTCGAGTCATGTATTTAGAGGAGCTTTCAGGACAAGGAAAAACAAAGTGGGCAAGAATTTATCTCAGCCCAAGGCTTGTGAAGTTCACCTTGGCAAGTTACAGAGTGGAAAATGGAAAATAAAATCATAATCGTAAGAAGGTTTTGTGTTCATTTCCATGATCTGCTATCTTAGTAGCATTGATTATATTTCAACCACAATGCATAAGTTTGCACCTTAACTGAGGTTACAGATAATTTGTAATAGTATTTCAATACTTACAATAGCGCACAACATAAAACTTTGTTACATTATTATAGGGGTCTACCTCCTCATTACCTCGACTAAAGATCACAATAATTAGATTTAATATTTCTCAGCCTCTCTGGTTTTCAAAAAATGAAAAGGCGTTTAGGTCTTCTTATCAAAAAAGGAGAATGTATAAAAAAATGCAACCCTGCTAATTCGCAGCTACATAAATTCTAATTCAGTTTTAAAGCCAATTAGTACAAGTAGAATTAGTTACAAGTTTAGTACATTAGTTACAAGTAGAATTATTTCGAGTATTCTTTGTTTTCTGTGTGATTCAGTGATACAATTAGAGGTCGGGTCTTGCAAGTGGCAGAAAACCCGTTGGGCCCGATTTTTGAAAATTTTCTGCACCTATAAATTAGTTTTGTCAAACGCCTCTACAGTCATTCGCCGCAATAAGATTCTTCGGAAGGCAAGATTTTAAATTTAAAAACAAAAAAAATCGAAGAAAAAAAGACCTCTCTTCAGAAAAACTTTGCAGGTACGCCAGTGAAGCAGTTAATGTAGCTCTTTCCAAAGTTTCATTCGCAAACGATGCAATTATTAATGTAATTATCTATATTATTATTTGAGTTTTTCTTGTTCGACCTTGGCCCAATGTTTATCATAACATTACAAAACCTCAGTTAAACAACCGTTTACACCATCAGTTAGAGTGTCCAAACGTAACTGTCAAACGTGTCCAAACACAGCCGGAAATGACCGGAAATTGACGGAAATCGATGACAGATTACTCATCTGGCTCGTTTAATCTGAGACGAGCGAAGTCTTCGAAAACTATGTTGTCCTCATCATCATCCGCATAGCAAGAGTTCTCATAGCGCGAGCGTTCACTGCTCTTAGATTTCTTCATTGCGCTGGACTTCTCCTTCTCTGCGGCCCCTGCAAAAATGATGCAAATTGAGTCATTTCAAATGTAGATCCCTTCAAAGGCTATCAATAATCGGTTTCGTTCACTTCAGGCACAGTCGTGCATATAAAACCTAGATGTTGCGTAAAAAATAATAATGATCTCCCGTGCAAAGACATCTCTGTTTAGGGTTTATCGTCTTGTTAGCGAATTCCGTGGATATCCGGATCTTTTACCAGACCGCGATTTGATCCTACAAAGGATTCCGTCGTCTCTCTGACAGAAGAACATTAACTATACATTTTAACATTGCAAGGTTTCCAATCGAAAATTGTACTTTAGCTTGAAGAATGTTAGGCGTTTTCATCACAAAATGTCACTATTTTTTTCTGATCACAGTAAATCATCAGCAAAATTCAATAAAAAATCAGCAAATTTTGAGCAGAAATTGCAACGTTCTATTCTTATAAAATTCGCACTGTTTCAGTCAATTTTGCAGCCCTCTATTAAAGATACGTTATTCTTGCGCCTGGGAGACGACAAATTAAGCCAGTTTCACACGCTGAAATTTTTGCCGAAAGTGAAGGTTACCTACGTCACGCTAGTCCCGAGGGACCTCCACTTCCGGCTCTCTTTTAATAACAATTGCTGCGGATTAATGCATTTTTACTGCGGTTTTAAATCACTACCTGTTATGCATGACCGTTGGACCAGGGATTTATCATTATTCTTTTAAACAAATTGAACACACAGTTTTTACTTTTGCTGACCAGTATAAGTTCCTCTTAAATGAACTAGACGTGCGTGATGCGTACTGAATAAGCGTGGCAGACAACAATGCCGATATTGCAATCAGTTGTTGCCAAATTTCACCGAAAATTTGACACATTTGACTATTATTTTCATTCAAAATTAGGAGAAATGATCCGCGGGTCGACAACGGTAATTTTTTAATAAACCAGACGTGCGTTGTGCGTACTGTCCGAGCGTGGCAGACAACAATGCCGATACTGATGTTGTCAAATTTCACGACAAATTCGACTTATCAGACAGTGGTTTTCATGCAGAGTCGAAAGAATGATCTCCGGGTCGACAACAATAATTTTTGCAACTGATACAGGAGCCACGATGACGCGACGCGACGGCCGGCTCGGCGCACAGTGGCTCGAGTCAATCAGAAAGGTCGGACATGAAATTTTTGATAAAAACTGAAAATTTTTAGGTGCATTTCGTCAAATTTTAAGTTCCAAGGGGTGCTACTAAAAGAAAATTTTACGAGGAAACCAATGGAGCCGTTTTTAGAACCTCAAAATTTGGTATAAACGGAGTTATGAGCGTTTGAAGTTTCTAAATTTCGTCCGACCTCTCCTACTGACTCGATCCATTGTGCGACGGTTCGCGTCTCGTTCCGTCGAGTTGTGCGAGAGCGAGACGTCGAAACGTCCTCGCCGTCTTGCGTTTCTCGAGCGGAACGAGGAACGACTAGTTTCACCGATGAACCACGGAGTGCAAAACTCCCCTAACTATTCGCTCCACACGCATGTTTGACAAACAATTCAAAACGCGTAGGTGAATGTGAGAGACCTCGGGTGTCAACCAATAAGATACGTGTCCAGGAGTTCATCGACGGACCATGAAAATTGTGTCTAACTTGTTTTAGACGCGCTGAACAACACGTTGCTCATCAGTCATCATCAGAGACATGGCCGGATTTATCTTCTTACCGCCCATGGGCCGCCTGTATTTTGCCGCCCTCTTCTCATTCATTTTGAAACATCGATAAAAACCATCAAGTGAACGTGCCGGAGGGAGAAGGGTGCATAAGACGTGTTCACTCGTGTTGGACACATTTTTTGCGTAAACCCTGTCAACACTACTTGCAAAAGTTCGCAGAACTTCGGTTCCGTAAACCTATCTCTGTGGAGACAAGGCCATTCATTTGTAAGAAATGAACTAAAAAAAAAAAAAAGGAAGAACTAACATAAATGTGGTTTAATAATTTTAACTTCCGCCGCCGTGCCGCGCTGACCACTTTGTGTTTGGCGCAATGCGTGAAGTATTCATGTAGTCTTGTAGGCACTGTGCGTCTCACGCCGCGCCGACCGCTGTTGACCGTACTGTGTTTGACGCAATGCGTGAAGTATTCATGCAATCTCGAGGGCGCTAATATACGTATTACATGCCGACCGCCGCGTCGAGGGCTTCTCCTTTTCATCTCAAGTCCTCGTCATCATTTCTCTTTGCGCCGCGCCGCTCCAGGCCAAATTACGTGTAAAAGTGCGCAGTCTTTTGTATCACCGAAATACGACAAAATTAGAAATTAATGAACTCTCAGGAAATGAGATTTTGTCACCTTTTCTTGTTTGTGATTTTTCCCTGAATCTGATTTTTTTGTACCTTCATTTAAAAATATTGCAAAATTTGCCGCCCCCTAATTTTGCCGCCGTGGGCCGCGGCCCATGTGGCCAGCCACCCCCTTAATCCGGCCCTGATCAGAGATAGCAATGACGATACACCTTCGCTGTCGTGTCGTGGGGGCCTCCGTGGCAGATTTATTCCATAACCAACTTGGTCAAAGTGACCAATATAGTACCATGGTACCAACTTGGTCAAAGTGATCAATATTGTACCAACATGGTACCAACAAGGGCAAATTTTAAGAGCAAGTTGGTATCATTTTGATACCATGTGGGCGTCTGGTGCCATTTTCCACTTACCAACACGGTACCACGTTCGTAGCATGTTACGAAATCTATCTTACTGTAGATACTAGCATCTCACCGAAAATTAGAGGTTGAAGAGGAAATTATCATCATCAAAAGTTCATATCAACTTTTTTCCGAGATTACTAAACCCACTCTTAACTTCGAGGCGGAAGAATTATACCTGCCCTGCGTTTAAGGACCAGGGCCGGATTAAGGGGGTGGCCACATGGGCCATGGCCCATGGCGGCAAATCTAGGAGGCGGCAAATTTTGCAAGTTTTTTAAATATAGGTATAAAAAAATCGGATTTAGAAAAAAAATTACAAACAAAATCTCTCATTTCCTGAGAGTATAGTAATTTCTGATTTTGTCGTCTTTCGGTGATACAAGCGACAGTACCTTTAATTAATCGAGTTAAGAGACAGACCAAACACCCAATTTGGCCAGGAACGCAGAGAGAGAAATGATGACGAGGACTTGAGATGAAAAGGAGAAGCCCTCGGCGCGGAGGTCGGCATGTAACACATATTCTAGCCTACATGCCTACAAGACTGCATGAATACTTCACGCATTGCGTCAAACACAGTGCCTTCAGCGGCGGTCGTCGGCGTGAAACTCATAGCGCCTACAAAACTGTCGGAATACTTCACGCATTGCTTCAAACACGGTGCGGTCTGCGCGGCGCGGCGGCATAAGTTAAAATCATTAAACCACACTTATGTTTGTTCTCTCATAATTTTTCCGTTCATTTCTTACGAGTGGAAAGCCTTGTCCACGCAGAGATAAGTTTACGAAACTTAACGTGTGCGCAAAGTTCGGTGAATTTTTGCTAGCAGTGTTGACAGGGCTTTCCCAAAAAATGTTTCCAACAAGAGTAAACGCGTCTAATGCACCCCACCCCCCGCTGGCACGTTTAATTGGTGGTTTTTATTGATGTTTTAAAACGAATGAGAAGCGCGCAGCAAAATACAGGCGACCCATGGGCGGCAAGTAGGTAAATCCGGCCCTGTTAGGACAGAAGGGATGGAAGTAACCAATCGGCGGTCGTGAAGGTTGGCCATCCCAGTAAAATTTTCAACGCAAATAACGTGTTCCGAAACTATGAGATGAATCCGACGATTGTTTTGACCGGTGATAAACTCAGCCGAGAGTTCGGCGAAGTCTCCTCCTCACTTTTTCCCACGAACACACCACCGATGAAGTGAACTTCCTCTCTTCGCCGCTCTGCAGATGGTCGCAGCGATTTTGTCATTCGTGTCCTGTTGGAGTGTTTGCATTGTTAGTTGCGACGTTGTCCGTTTTGTAACAATACGTCGTAAATCGTCGAGATAATTCGGATAACTGAGAGGCTCCACCGGAGACCCAACACAGACGATTCGTCTGAGGAGAGTATGGGCCCGTACCGGTGGGTCGTTTCTCCTCGCCGATTATTTCCCCGCTACAAAAGAGCTATTGCGCAACTTTTTTGTGAGCATACCGCGACAATTGTTCGTGCGTTTAACGTCCCGCTAGATTAATCGCACCGTTGCCACCAAGTACTGTTAAGTCCCGAAATTTGCCGATTTAGTGGGGAGGCTGCGTGCATGGGTAGGATTTCCCGCTTAGTGCACAATTTGAAACCGTAATCGATGGATCTATTCCGGACCCGCGCAGAAAATAGAGGCGAGTCCAGTAGGATCCGTACGTCTTTCAACGTGTAATTTGTCTGCTCGGTTATGTACCAATTAGATTTCGGCAAACAGTACCGACTTGCGCCGCGCTGTATCTTAGCTTCATGTTATTGAGTCATTTCTGGATTTTGTATAACTCCTTATTATTATGTCCTCTTCGTTGCATTTCGAAACCAGTCATATGTTTTGCGGGTAAAATAAACGAGCAATTATGTTTGTGGCAAAAGAAGGAAGAATGCAGCGTAGAGGTCGAATCCTATGGAAGCGAAGATAGATTCGTAACCTGTCACTCAAAGATCCTCGAATAAGTTCTGCACATACATATTGTCTGGATTCTTCTCTCTTTGAATGTATTCAGCTATGACGACATCAGGCCGTGACGACAAAATGTTGAGCTTCATGACGAGGTAAGAGTGAAAATGAGATTAGAGAAGAGCCACCTTGTATGGTTTCTTGTCCAGCGTTCTATTTTAGCGTTCGTGATAATTTAAAACGGTCGGCCCTTCAAAGATCGATCCACGGATATCAAGTCAGCACGCGGAAAACAATTTAGCGAAAAATCCAGGAAAATCCTCTTATTGAGAATAAGGAAAAAACTGTGCTCTAAATTTAGTACTTATAAAAATAAACGATAAAAAAATGTTTGCGGGATGCTAAGCTGGGCTCACTGACAAGTGTGATCAATCGTATAGGCCTAAAAAGACCCAAATCGATTAGGCCACTCAGCGTGACCCTAGCTTATTGTTCTAGTGCAACTGCCTGAGCTGACACTCTTTTTGTTCAGCCTTGCACTATGATACTCTTTAGAATTCAAATGTTTTATTCTGTTGAAAATTGTCAGAATTTTTGGCCTTGATTTCCTCGCATAATAGTGTGGATCCAGCACTATTCTACCATCTTCTTATTTGGCACCAGGTAAAATAGACCCTCCACTGGTCTCTCGGCGACAGGTGGAAACTTTTACTTTCGGAGATTCAACACCTCCTTATGGACAATTATCAGAAAGCAACGGTCATCATCCTTTTTTTGGCTGTCGACCTACCTACTAGGTGAATGATGAGCTTCGGGAGGCCTAATGAGCCAAACAAGTTTGCCAAACTTCGGTGTGTTTGCATAGCGAAATACCCAACGCATTCTTTGTTCAACGTCCACCTGGTAGATGGGTCAATGGTTGAATGTTGTAGTCCTGAAAGTAAAAGCCTCCACCATCGCCAAGATAGCATTGGAGGTCCTCTTACCTCTGTTTAATACTTACCCTATGTAACTCTTACAGCGCGCCGTATGTACTCTACTTCACCGCGAGCATTCTAAGTCCTCTGGATAAAAATGCACTATTTCCACCATCATTTTCAGGCGCCAATGACGCTTCGTTACTCCTTGAATGACACCAAAGAAGCTGCCTCCAAATTACGTAACGCTCTATGAGGGAGTGGGTTTTTGCCAGCACTACACGGCGTTACAGGGAGTGGGGATATAGAGCAAAACGTTACGTAACAAATTTAAGTGATTTTTTTCGAGTTTCTGTAGAATTTATTTTCAGTCGTCTTCAGAAGTCTCAAAGAATCTCGAAAATATTTTCTGCAAAACTTTCAGTTTTCCTCACTAAATAGAAACACCAATCCGTTCAGCAAATGTAAGGTGATATTCAGAGTATATTTTATCGAAATGAAGAGGGGAGAGCTCCGGGCAAGCGCTACGTAATTTTCTAGAAGCGAATTTTATTTGAAGTTCCGAACCTCTTGGGAAGTTCTGTCCTGGCTTGTCCCCTCAATCACCAACACCAATGGATACCTTTGTTACCAGATTCGACCAATCAGATTCGTTGGTTTTCGATAGGTCGAACCTTTTTTAGAACCACCTCGCGAGGTGGTACCAAAAGCACGCACCAACGTTGCGATCCGTTAGTCACCGAATCGGAAGCTCCGAAATCAAATAGAATGGCAGCTCGGAGGTTCGGGCACAAAAGTAGTACCGGACCTCTAAATAAAAGTCGCTTCAGGGGGTTTAGCACAGCGTTACGGAGCGTTTCAAGGGATAGGGGTGTCAAAAACCCGCAAATTTAGCGTTACGTATTTTAGTGACGGCCAAGATGGAGCATAGTTCAAAGTTTCAAAAAACTAAATTCAAAGTTTCATTTGGACGTATTTCTACCAAACAGACCTATGTGGAGATGAGAAATATGGGGTGTGCTCTAGGAAGCTGCATAAGAAGCAATGTAAAAGTGGGCGTGATTCCTTTTGAAGAATTGGAAAAGCGAGATTTTACATTCTATCAAACAGACCTATGTGCCAACTGAATGCGGAACTCATGAGCCGCGGGCATGGCAAGAGAGCGTTGTGGACAGGGCTTATGAGTTAAAGATGCGGATCCGCGGCTCGGAGTCTCCATCGTCGCCGCTGACGTCACTAGCGCTTTATTATTCTCATTCACTCTTACGGCCAGAGAACTAACGAGCACACCCCATATTTCTCACCTCCACATAGGTCTGTTTGGTAGAAATACGTCCATTTGGAAAGGGAAAGCGGGAAGGGGGAGGGAATTTTGGGTCTAGAGGGAGTTTGGAGAGCTCACCTGGTGCAGGGTGCATGAGCTTGAAGGGGACGTCGGTTTGGAGCTCGCCGCCAAGCGTGCCGCAGCTGAGCTTGACTCGGAGGGAGTACGAGATGACAATACCCATGGCCTCACCGGGAGCTTTTCCCTCTTGCACCATCGTCGAAGATGCAAGATTCACGTCGTCGTCCTGGAACCGTGGAAAATTGATCGATATTAAACACGTCTGCTCGGCTGGAAGTAATGCATTGCGCCCCGCGCCGGCCGTGTCAATGGATTAGTGCGAAAACACGTCCTTAAATATTTGACACAACGCTTTCTCTTTTCCCTTGCGTAACGAGTGTTACGCACATCCATGCTCGCCGATGGAAGGAAAACACCTCGCACTCGGACCCGTAATGCACGTTGTGCGTGCCAATACAAATAACAAGTCCCACGCAGCCCCAGACCAAAAACCCGTAGATATTCTACTACTGCTCAATTCCATCGAAATTCGTTTGTGACCGTCCGAGGCAAAATAAATTATCGTTCTCAGATACTCAAAAAGAGTCGTCGGTACCATTACCCACATAGGTGTTTGTATTGCAAACTTTTTATCGAAACTAAATAAGAGTATATACGGGTTGAAGTTTGCGGTTTTTGGAAAAACCTTTTTAAAGGTTCAATTTTTGATTTATTTTGAACTTGAAAATTACTGCAATTTTGTGTTATGAACACGAACTTGTCACTTATTCCTTACTATTCAGGATATATCAGTGATAAGTACTGGCGAAAAAAGCTATCTAAAAATAATTTTATCTCCAGGAACTGTATTCCAGCAAGTGGATAAGTAGGGAAGGAGTTATTCGACTCCTCTACATCTTAATAGGCATTATTGGATCAAATTCGACAAAAAAATGTACCTCATATTTGTGACTTCTCTCGGGAAAAAGTACCTCAGTCCCTCGAAAAGAAATTTTTTTGTGAGGTCGAGTCGATTTTTGTCCACTTTGGTTAAAAAGTGCATTTTGGGATTTTGATGGAATTCTCTCTTAAAAACCCGGAAAAATAAATTGCCAGCAACAAAGCTCAATTTCATCCCGACAAATGACTTAAAGTCGCATTATAATCAGACACTTTCTAACTTTATTGATTACGTTTTAAGCTGCAAAATCAAACCTCCGTGACTGTGATTTGGTTTTGTGTCCGAAAAAAAACCGTAGAATACTCCCCCATACTCTGAAAATCAATAACTAAATTTTGAAATCATTTTATGTAAAATATATGTTTTAGGGAGACGAAACGCCTACAATCACGAGCATCAAGCTAGAATATAATGCGAGTTTCTCAAACCGATCACTCGGATAACTCAATCATGAATCATGAATGTTAAAACGCCTTAAATTCTAGTGACTGCAACAAGCTATGCAACTTGCAATAGCTTCATTCCTTCAATCTGACGGTGTTTTGTTCGGTGTGTTTAAAACATCTTTAAAACATGAGAACAATTCGAGCTAGATGTTTAAAAGTTATGGGTAAAAATTAAAACTTTTTATGTACTCTCCCTCCAAAAATATGCAATATGCTTAGGAATTCAATATAAAATATATTTAACGTTTTATTTTTAAATAGAAAATGCTCATATAGTTACCTTGAGATGACCATCTAAAGCGATACCTCTTCGGTCCTTATTACTTGAAGCCAAGGGTACTAAATAGAAAGTTTTCATAAATGAAGCCCCAGGGGTGACAGGGCATCCTTCACGAGTCTCTAAACTGGCAACGTGTTTTGAAAACTGCGCGTTCACCATCGTGACTTCGCAATGTTGCACAATAAAGCACTGGAAGCAAGAGATAATGGGAAGTAGCGCAGTGCATCTTAAATGAGTGCATGTTTACTGTAGCATACAGTTTGCCGTCGGACAAACTCTTGAAAGAACAAATCCGCGAATCAGGAAATTCTAGATTCGTTCTAATGGTCGTAATTGCTTACTTTTCGTCACCGATGCTGGTTGGTGGGCTGATCATCATAAATGTTCAGTAAATGGCTCATGGAATTTTTTGTGGCACTGCATAGATGTATAGATGTAAATCTATGCATCGAAAGCATTGACTATCGGTGAAATTAATTCGCTTTCGAGTGTGAACTAGAGAAAGCATTTTCTCCATTAGAATCAGGTAGCTCCTGCATTTGTCTCCGTCACTAATGGGCCTGTTGCAAACTTTTGCTAGAGCAAAAATAAGAGTTGTTTCCTGTAGATAATGCCTCAAAAACCACGATGAGCGCATTGGCGAAGTCTGAAATGCACTCATAACTTCACAATCTGCGTAAGAAATTTGCGGTTTTTTGAGCCTCCCGCTTCAAAAACGATACTACGGCACAGGCGAACATTTTGATGGAGGAGTCGCTCCATCGTCGGCAATATTCATCATGGCCGACGCTTGCGCAGTTCCGCGCGTAATTCGAGGAGAGTTCAAGATCAATCAAGGCGGGCGAGGAAAATATGAACGTAAACACGCCGATTGTTATCTGGTCTAGTCCTGTTTAGGTGTTATCTCGTCCCATCACACGTGTTTTGGTGGATTGGCGTCGGCCATGATGAGTATTGCCGACGATGGAACGACTCCTCCATCAAAATTTTCACCTGTGCCGTAGTATCGTTTTTGAAGCGGGAAGCTCAAAAAACCGCAAATTTCTTACGCAGATTGTGAAGTTATGAGTGCATTTCAGACTTTGCCAATGCGCTCATCGTGGTTTTTGAGGCATTATCTACAGGAAACAACTCTTATTTTTGCTCTAGCAAAAGTTTGCAACAGGCCCATTGGTTCAAGATGCTGTCTTGCACCATTCACCAGATCAGCATCACCTTAAGTCAATTCCTTTTCAAAGTGACATTTCAAGTTGCAGTTCATGTTCAGTTCAAGTTCCTTTTCAAGTTGTTCCCTCTTTCCCTGATCCATTCTCCGTTGAAAGCTATTATTTCATCGCCAAATGAACGTATTCATGCATGCATCAATTTGTATTACTATATGTTTTTTTATAGTCCTTTAAAGCTAACCGGCATGAGCGCAAAGAAACCTCAGGAAAATACTTGGAAATCGACTTATTGTCAGACATGAAAAAAGAGGGCAATAATTATCGTACAGGTGATGATTCTTTCACGCCATATAAATGAGATTTTTAGTGCCGCCAATTTTATTCAGGCAATAACATGTATAACATGTGAGATAAGAATATGAAAAATATGAACCTTGATATTTCGGACGGATTTCCGAGAGTTATTGCTGATGGTCACAGTAGCTGCAACTTTCTCTCCGTGGTAGTAGATTTCGCGGTCCAAGGTCACTTCGAGATTGATTTTTCCCTGAGAAAATGTGAAACCCTTGCTGACCAACGAGCTAGGAAGACGTCGGCCACGGCTTGGTGGAGCATATTGCAACTGGAAATAATGAAGAAAAAAAAAAAAAAAAAAAAAAAAAAAAAACATTAAAGGGTGTGAGGAGAGAGAAAAAGACGACTTTATCCTGGTTCTTTACATTCAATCACGTAAGATTGCTCATACTTTCCTAAGTCGAGGTATATCATTATGTATTATGTTTACAGTGATTTTTTTGTTTTCAGATAGCCGGGAGGTATTGACATACATAGTTAAGAATGTCCGTGTTCATCGTTACTTTAGGTTACTTTGAGTCACTTTTCCTCGGTCAGATCAATCAAAAGAACTCGGTTGATCGACCATATTCTTGGTTCAATCGACCGAATAACCGTAATTTGCTCTGAAACATCTGAGGGGTGAAGAATGTGACCCGCCTCCCGCTGAATTGGACGTATTTCTGTCAAATGGAACTATGTGCATTATGACGTGAGCCCTGTTATGCATGTATTCTTATGGGTCTCAGGGCTCATGTCTTAAGGCACCTACTTCCGTTTGACAGAAATACGTCCAATTAATGTACTCTTGTTTCTTCCGATATCACTCAGAGGTTGTGACTTGCGGGTGGCTTGCGGGTCGGACTCACCACCGCAATCTAGGTTCAAACCTGGCGGCTTTCGCGTGATATTTAACGACGTCACAAATTTTCAATCCAAAGATCTACTCAATATAATTCAAAGACTCGGTCGATATTATCCAAAGAAAAACTAACCAAAAACTATTAACTGCACGCTTAGGCTACTTTGTACTCAACTTCTCTTATCGACAAAATATGTCGGACATTTTTCCTTCCTGCGTAGCCAGTTTTTCAATAGAGGGAAGACGGATCTATACGTTAAAAATTCCCGAAAATCACGGAATATAGGGAAAATTTTCCTTTCAAGAGGAGCAGGGGTCAAGACTCCCCCCTTGGCTACGCCTAGAGACAAGAGACCCTCCATTGATATCTCGGCAATGGTGGAAGCTTTTGCTTTCGGGACTTTAACACTCAACCGTCGACCTACCTACTATAGGTGGGTGGTTCAAAACGTGTTGAGATTCTCGATTTGCAAACAAACCGAAGTTTGGGAAACTTTTTTGGCTCATGACATCACCCGAAGATCATCATCCACCTGGTATAGGTAAGATGGCTGTTGCTCCCTTATAATTAGTCAGTTGCGCTGGTCACAGAATCGTGTTTTGATGCTTTATTCTTGCAGATCAACTAAAATGATAAGATCTGTCCTAACAGCAACTTTCCACGTCCAATATCAACCGAGATATTGCGCCTGGAAAAACTCGATTTATGACGTCATACACCGCGCTAGTACGTACCATGTTATGCACTACCGCGGGGGATGACGTCAAAACCCGGATTTTCAAAGGACGATATCTCGATTAATATTCAACGTAGAAAGTTGCTAGCTGTTTGGACAGATCTTGATGTTTTCAGCTACTCCACAAGAACCAAGCATTAAAACACGATTCTGTTACAGTGGACTCTCGATAATTCGAAATTGAAGGGAATCGGCTTTTTCTTCGAATTAGCGAGGTTTCGAAATAAAGAGAGTTCGAATTAAAGAGATTCCATGTGAAAAATTTCGAATTAGAGAGGTTCGAATTATAGAGGGAAGGCGCCATCTGAATTCGAATTATAGAGGGACAAATGGACGGATTTACGCCAAAAGGTCTTTCGGCCAAAGGCCAAGCTCTTTCAGACACCCAGGTACATAAACAGTTGACTTCGAATTGTAGAGGGAATGTACCGTCTTATTTCGAATTATAGAGGGAGGCCCTTATTTACTTCCCACACTTCGAATTACAGAGAGAATTATCGTCGCAATTTCGAATTATAGCGGGCCGCGCCAGCTTAAAAATTTCGAAATAACGAGGGGAGAAAAATACATTGATTTTTCTCGAATTATCGAGAGATTTTCAAGGGAAACAGACTTTCCTTCGAATTAACGAGGTTTTCGAATTATCGAGGTTCGAATTATCGAGAGTCCACTGTACCAGCACAACTGGCCCATTTGCCATGAAAAAGTGTTGAGTTCTCGATAGTGTCCCACACCTGTCGCCAAGAGGCCAATGGAGGATCTCTCGTCTCTGGCTGCACCATAGCGAGAAGTGAGAGGTCTCACCTTTTTGATAGCGAGGGCAACAGAGGAGCGCTTGTGTCCACGGTCTTCCGAGTTCTCAGCGACGAAGGTCTTGATGGTGTACTCGACACCGAGGGGTTTGCCAGTGTCGTCGTCGCCGGGCTGGAGGGTGACCGACGAGGGGGAGTTGGCCGGGAAGTTGAACGTGAAGGGGTAGGCGTTGTTGCCCAGCTTCCGGATAAGCTTCTCCTGAACCTGGGTCAGCTCGGGCTTCTCGTTGCCCTGCGGCACGATTTGTTGCTTCGACAGCACCATCTCTTTGCTGAACTTGACGCCCATGACCTCGTCTTCCTCCCGACCGAACCGGTACGTCGTCGAAACCTAAGCAGAACATTCTGGTAGCAGATAGTAGAACGAAGACAAACACAGGCAGCCCAAAACGGCAACAGTGGAAAGAAAACAAGGAAACAGCGAAGACCAGCATTGGCGGATCCAGCGAATTGGCAGCATTGTCTTTTCTCCATTTAAACCTATGGAAAAGTATCGATTCTTGGAGGGGCCTGGTGCTCCGAAAAGAATCGATTATTTAGTATAGGTTTAAATGGAGAAAATCCGGTGTTGCCAAATTGCTGGATCCGCCTCTGGAGACCAGGCTAAAATACATAAAATTATACGGGACGTTTGGGTTATTTCAGAGTGCGTATTCCAATATATTCTCAGAAGTTTTGCCTCCTGCTAATCTAGTTGGACCACATGTTGCATTTAAGCACTACAATTTCTGGCTTTGTTTAGTAACAACCAATGCACCGTTCGTTCCTCTATGCACATAAGTGTTTTTACAGATGAGATAGAAATTATAGTTCCGAATTGCGAAATGTAGTCCAATTTGGCCACTTCCAACATAACTTTTCACTCCGCTGCTTACAGCTGATTCGGATAGAATGATGTTTCTGATGAAATGTAAATATCTGCTAACAGTAGGAAGAAGTCAAGGAAACAAGCCTAAAATACATGAAATTATACGGGACGTTTTGGTGTCTCACGACACCATTATCAACCGCTAAAAACCGTAAAATACAAGAAATAAAAGAGACATTAAAATCAAAGGAAACCAACACGGCGCTACACGGTGATGGTATGAAAGACTGCAGTGATACCCTGGTAAAAATTGGCAGTAGAATCTGTGTTCCAAAATACCATGGACCTAAAGTCGGCTGTAAGATTTCCAATAGCTTCTGTAGCCGGCTGTATAATTTCTTACAGCCTTTAGTAGCCGATGGCGATTAAGCAACAGCCAGACGATAAAGTTTATGCTAAACGTTACTAAATACGGATACTAGAACTTAGTTAGTTTTTGGACTACCGCTCTCTTTTTGTGCCGTAGTATCTTGATTTATTTTGCGAGGAAAGCTCCGTGCTTTTGAAGGATGCCTGTCATTCTTAATGTGTTAGAGCGCCTTCAATTTCTTATGATACTGTGCAATACCTCTGGTCAGAAATAGTTGCTTCAGACGCCGTGGCACGCTGCGGCGCGGCGGGCGGGCAGAGACCGCGAATCGCGCATTGGCGCCTACAAACCTAACAGGGATACTTCACGCATTGCGCAATGCGTGAAGTATCCCTGTTAGGTTTGTAGGCGCCAGTGCGTCGCCGCTCCGCTTTGTGTTATTAGGCTCTAATAATTAATCTCGCAGATTCAGCATTTTTCAACTCATGATTTTGAAATGTTTGCACACTCTGTATGGATTATTCTTATTTTAATTGATGAAAAAAAAATACGTTTTAAAGGAAAATATAATGTGTGTTTTGTAAATATTAAGGTAGTTCCGTATCAAACTTAATGATTTTCAAAGCACACGAATTTCTACACAATTTCTTATAGCCTTTTATAGCCAATGGCGATAAAGTGTAAAGCCCAGCGATAGGAACTATAGCCCGACTGTATACTTTTTTATAGCTTCGTATAGCCCGGCTATATGATTTGCTCCGCTTTCTACAGCCAGCGATATGATTTTCAATAGCCTTCTTTAGTCGGCTATAAGAGCTCCTATGGTATTTTGAAACGCAGCTGCTATCGCCAATTTTTACGAGGGTAACAGGAGTAAACAAAAACCAATCTTTCATACCATCACCATGCAACGCCGTGCTGGTTTCCTTTGATTTTAATGTATTTTTCATTTTTGTATTTTACTGTTTTTAGCGATTGATAATGGTGTCGTGAGACACCAAAACGTCCCGTATAATTTTATGTATTTTAGGCTTTTTTCCGCTGTCTCCTTGTTTTCTTTCTACTGTTACAGATAGCTACAGATAGCTACATAGCAGATATTTACATTCAATCAGAAGCATCATTCTATCCGAATCGGCTGTAAGACAGCGGAGTCAAAAGTTATGTTGGAAGTGGCTAAATTCGACTACATTTTGCAATTTGGAACTATAATTTCTATCTCATCTGTAAAAACAATTATGTGCATAGGGAAACGAATGGTACATACGTTGTTTCTAAACTGAGTCAGAAATTGTAGTGCTTAGTTACAAAATGTAGTCCAACTAGGTTTGCAGGAGGCAAAACTTCTGAAAATCTTGGAATACGCACTCTGAAATAACCCAAATGTTTCCCAAAAGATTAACTTTCAAATGCTTGGGGGGTGACGATTCCCTCCGCCCCTCTACTTGGCGCCATTACATTCGACCTACGAAAAAACCATGCCGAATACTTGCGCTAATACTTTAAGGGCGGGCACAATTAGAGTCTTAAAACCCCTTACAAGAGAGCTTCAGTCGCAAGTATAGACTGTGTTTTCATGATATCATCGATGCTTCCTAATTGAGCAAGATATGGACAGAGGTGAGCAGGAGAAATAAAGATTCAAATAAGTAAAAAGAAATAAGAAGAAGTTCAAGTAAGAATAAGAGATAATTTCTTGTACAGCTTCTTTCTGTGCAACTTTAGAAAGCTGCATAGTAGAATAGTAACGACTAGCATAGTAGTGCTGATGAAAACCAAAACTTTAAAACACGTTTTTCATTTATCTCTTTCTTCAATCGTAATTGGCGACGCTCTATGGAGGCCTTTCATGTCAGAGAAGAGCAAGTTCCAAAATGAGTACTATACCTACATTTTTACAAAATGCGTCGCTCCTCTTGTCAAAAGTACCACCCGTATCACATGATTCATACTTTCAGCCTTCATCTACCTAGGTACTTAATAGTAGTTTCTTTTTTGTTTGGATGTGTTCAAGATTTAAGAATCAATCTATACGTATATACATTTAGTGTATAATTTTTCTAATTCTCTGAGAGTTTTATTACCTGTGCGTACACTTTTCTGCCTTGCAGATAGTCATTTTCGACGACCACAACACCGTCGATGGGATCCACATGATCTAAATGGTCGATGAAATCACGTTTTCCTAGATATACTGTGACTTTTCCTGTCAAACAAAAAAAGGAATAAACGGGCATTCGTAATCAATCGAGACACACCTTTTGAACACAAAATTGCTAACTATTAATCGTATGCAATAATCTTTTTCACTGCGACAAAAAGCGTTTGGAAAAATGCTTTTGAGTTTAGTTGCGGTCTAAGATGTAAACCCTAAGAATTTTTTTAAAAAAAATAACAAAATACGCAAAAGCCTATCCTAAAATTCGATAGAGGTATTTAAAATTAATCGGTTGAATGTCCTTTTATTATCATTAACTCATTGCTTTCACTCTAAAAATCTGAGAATAAATGCAAGAGGATAGAGTGTTACAAGTTAAAACATGTATAAGCAAGAGACTGAGCCCATGGTTAATTATTCCTATATTATTTTTCAGTTGTAAATTAAATTGCAATTCTGCTGATTTTTTTTTTTTTTTTGTTAATTTTAGCCAAAAAATGTATTCATTCATTGTTATTTTTTTAAATGCACGCATGGGTTACTATCTCATTTCAGGGAATTACATACGTTCTAAAAAATTGAATAAAAGACGAATTCATCTGACCCCCGCCATTATTCCTTAGTTTTGAAGTTTTTTTAAGTAGATAGATTTTGAATAAGATGCGGAGGGATCATTCGTCACAGTCAACATACAATTTTTCTGTACTTGAACTACAATGAGGATTGCTAAATGTCATTTCGTGAAGTGAAGCCTCAGAAGTCGGGGTCAGAATAAGGGACTTCACCAGGCGCCATACGAGAGAAAGTAGGTGGAGGCTTATTTAATTAGATTGCGGGCGAAAGATGTAAATCTGACACATTTCATCGCATCGCGGCAAATTATATAAATGACTCTGGTCTTTTATTCGCTCGCAATTGAATCGGTCAATCTCAAAAAGACTTAAGCGCCAGAAATGAGAAGTCGAGGAAGACAGTGGAAACTGTTCTTATCGGCCGCTTCTAAATTCGGAGATTTGAAATATGGGAGCTTGCAATTTAAGATCGGATCGTGGTTGTTTCAGCAAATTTCCTACAATTTGAACAGGGGGAAAAACGAATTGGTGCCTTTTAGAGTGAATGAACTTATTTTAACTTACTTGTTTCATTTAAAGTCAAATTTTAAGTGTTCTAAGCTGTAATTTCCACGAAAAATTTCATGTACACTTTCTCTACTTCTACCGATTTGTTTGAAAAATTTGAAATGTTACTCGAGCTATTAGACTGATCAATTCATGTCCCTTGATTCGTTGATAAATCGCACGTACTCATTTTATCATCATGTAACGACGACGACGCGACGTAACAATCAATGCGACTGTCGCGGCCGGAGTGCGGCGCTTGCCAGGTCAGTTCGCCTTCAAATACGCAATGTAGGCAACTTAACGACAGCGGAGTTCGAATAGTTGCTCTCGGCAATCGAGCATCATTTATATTGATAAGTCAATTGCAGTTGCAATGGATTGCCATTTCATATCCATCAATTTTTTCCAACCCCATAGAGTAGATTCGCACTACATTTTCCTTTTTACTTAACCGTTAGTTTGTTTCCAAAATACATTGTACAGGCATGAGGAATCCGTGAAATTTTACACAATTTCTTTAAATGTACAGAAATCCCTAAAATGAGTTAGTAACCCATGCGTGCACAAAATAAATGATAATGATTGAATAAAATAATAATTTTGTTTTACTAGTTCTTGATGCATTGCGTATATTTTTTGGTTGATTGGTTGGTTGGTTATTAGTTAATTTAAGACGATCAGCAACCAGACTATTTACGTCGGGGACCTGGAAACCTTAAATTTTTAAATTTATTTTTTGACTCTGTATACAAAGTATGTGTAATATACAAATGTAATCGCGCTACTTATGAATGCAAAGAATAGTGATAAGATGGAATCTATGACAGATTGTCGTCTTAATATGTTTGAATATATATACGATTTAACAATCTCAGAGAAAATAAAAATTAAACTCACCATTAGGTGTGGTTTTTTTGAAAACTTTAACGGCTACAACATACGCCAGGAGTATTAACGGGAACATACTGAAGCTAGTTGTGATAGTGGTATAAAACTAAATATCCAGAGGCAAGAGTTCGAATCCCGGCCGACCAGTGATTTGTGAATCCCAAAAACACTTACAAAAACATGAAAGAAAACAACAAATGAACGGTTTGATCACTCAACACTCCATCTTGGTCCATGAACTTGGAAACGATCCCCGGAGGAAGAAACAAAAAACGAAAATGAAAAATGAATGGTTCTGATGAAAGAACCTCCGACCGTTTGGAAGCGTCGCGAGGAAAAATTCAAGATATATAGCTCAGCTTTAAGGTTTCTAAAATCATTGGTACGCAACAGCTTTTTGATGGCATAATAGGATCAGGGTCAAAGTGAAAACACCTTCGTCCGGCCGCTCCAGTCTCCGTCAAGTGCACATTTTGCAGACAAATCGAATTACCGGAAACCCTCCAAGCGGTCCAAGCATATCGATCACACGGCTCTATAACTGTGCAACCTACATCGACTGTAGTTGCCCCGTAAGTTTGTCACATGAATTTCTGCGTCGAAATGGCAGATCCCTCTGCGTTGCGCACTGCTCGAATGCTCTGGCTAGGAGTGATCGGTGATGTGCGGGCATTACCAGACGCCTTCATTTCTTTCAGTCGAGTGATCCAAATGTCTTGTATCAATTACAAACTATTACTCTCTCATTGAGATTCCGCTCTGCTACTCTTGAGAACTCACTGAAAAGGGGGGGGGGAGGGTGTGAGACATTTTTGGGTAAACGGACGTCAAACGCTTCATGTTCTTCTTGCGCAAAATCACGGGAAAAAATATCACAATCCCAACCATACTCCTAGCTCATTTCGGCGCCACATATTAAGAGTTGTTGCACACTCCAGAGGTATAGTTAAGACGGTTATAAGTGTGGTCGGATTAACTATACCGCTGGCTGGTGCTTTTATACTTCCAGCTGGTGCTTTTATACTTCCAGCTGGTGCTTTTACACTTCCAGCTGGTGCAACTACTCTTATGGTTGGCGCCAAAATCAGCTGAAAGTATAGTTGAGATTGTGATACTTTTTTTCAGTACTCTAAATCCGCACGATGTTATACCAATCCAAAAATACACAATTTGTCAATGAGGCATTTTTCTAAGGCGTATTGTTGCTCACGCCTCTTTTGCGGGGAACGCGTAGGTACTAAAAATCTTTACGATATCTTCTGTCCAAAATTAGTAATATGTACATGGGGGAGCGCAAAAGGAGCAAGAAAAATAACCATGAATCAAACATTTTTTCCGAAAAAAGCGTTTACTGGCAGATGAGCATATCGACGGTGAAACTACCAGACCACGAATCTCGGTTTGTGACGTTGTAGACCCCTCCTGTCATACTTTATTTTTTAAACGGAAAACTACTAATCTTTAATTCTTGGAAACTTCCGTGTTTTTTCCTCAATATGCGAAGAAAACTCCGCAAAAATTGCAAGAAATGATTTTGATTTGTGCTTTTTCAAAAAAATAAAATAGGAGCGGAGATTTTCAAACACAGCAAAGGAAATACGTGGTCTGATAGTTTTCACTGGTAGTATATTGCCATTTTCTCATAAATTTTACATGCTACACGCTTGATATTTTAGCAAGAAACACTTGAAGGCTGTATCTGAAACCATTTTGATGCCTGTGCAGAAGCAGAGCAGATCTCGTTGCTGATGCGCAGCCCCCTCCCTCCCCCCCACCACTCTCCCATGCCCCAATTCATCTTCCTCACGCTCGTCTTTACTTCTCATAAAAGAAGACCTCGGTGATAAAATGTCAGACTTCGTCGCTAATTTTCACACAGTAATGTAATAGAAATTCTCCTCTGCTCGAATGAAGCACGTTCATTGCAGTGAATTGAATATCAACTTATTCATTGTTTATGTAGAAATTTCGTCACAAAAGCTGAAACAAGTTGCTTCAGTCTCGGTGTTCTTTTACCATTCTCTCAAAACTTTTGTATAGTTTGGGGAAATGTGGAGCCATTCATGGCTGGATTCACCCACTTGCCGCCCATGGGCCGCCTGTATTTTGCCTTCCCCTTCTCATTCGTTTTGAAACTCAATAAAAACCATCAAGTGAACGTGCCAGCAGGGGAGGGGTGCATAAGACGGATTTACTCGTGTTGAACACTTTTTTGGGAAACTACTAACATAAGTTCACAGAACTTTGCGCGAAAGTTAAGTTTCGTAAACCTATCTCTATGTGTGGACAAGGCTTTCCATTCATAAGAAATGAACGAAAAAATTATGAAAGAACAAACGTAAATGTGGTTCAATGATGTTAACTTCCGCCGCCGCGCCGCGCAGACCGTACCGTGTTTAGCGCAATGCGTGAGGTAATCTGACAGTCTTGTAGGCGCTATGCGTTTCACGCTGACCGCAATGACCGCACTGTGTTTGATGCAATGCATGAAGTATTTACGCAGTCTTGTAGGCGCTATGCGTTTCACGCTGACCGCATTGTGTTTGATGCAATGCGTGAAGTATTCGTGCAGCCTTGTAGGCGCTAATATGTGTTACATGCCGATCGCCGCGCCGAGGGCTTCTCCTTTTCATCTCAAGTCCTCGTCATCATTTTTCTCTAAGTCGCACCGTTCCGGGCCAAATTGCGTGTTTGGTTTCTCTCCTAACTCGACTAATTAAAGGTGCTGTTTCTTGTATCACTCAGAGACGACAAACTTAGAAATTACTACACTCTCAGGAAATGAGAGATTTTGTCGCCTTTTCTCGTTAGTAATTTTTTTTTTTCTAAATCCGATTTTTTGTTATACCTACGCTTAAAAAAATTGCACATTTTTGCCGCCTCTTAGATTTGCCGCCATGAGCCGCGGCCCATGTGGCCACTCCCTTAATCCGGCCTTGGAGCCATTTGCGGTTTTGTTGCTACAGACGCAGTCGCGTCGTCACCAACTTTGCCGTGCTAAGGAAGAACGCCGTATGAGCCCTCAGGCGTTGCCAAGTTTTCTCCGATAAAAACCGAATTTACTGGGAAAATAGTGAATATTTTTTTCCAAAATTTTCAGAAAATTTTGTACTCAATTCAATCTAAAAATATCTGAAAATTTCTAGGACAAAAATGCACAAATGTCGTCAAAAATACATGTTTTATCAAGTGAAATGTGGCAACTCTCGAATGTTCATACGGCGTTCTTTCTTAGCGCGGCAGAATTCATAGCCTTTCGAGGCTCCTCCTTTTGAAAAATTGGTTCTCTTCATTTTTTTACGATATCGATACTAATCGCTTTTCACAGCAAGGTCACTGATCAGTCTCTTCTATCGTCATACATCACATCAGGAAGTGACTTATTTGAAAATGAGTGACGTTTAAAGTGATGTTTGAAATGGAAGAAAATAGTAGGGGCCCAAAAAGGCTCTCCTCTTGTTCTCTTTGAATTAAACAATAGAGAATTTGCGAGTGTCTAAAATTTTGTAATTTCATCTTTAAAATAATACTGCTAGGAAAACTGAGTGCGAGGATATCCTTGGTTTCTAAATTGGACAATTGTGTGCACACATATGTTTAAATGGCAAATTCCGCCAGATGACGTCACAAGGCGGCAAATGTTCTCACTTTTAAATCTATTTTCCTCTAATTTCCCCTGTCAGAATTTTTTTTAGAAAATAGGTACTGCGAACTCAGCTCATTAGGCACTCTCAGATGAAGCAATGACATTTTAGTGTGCAGATTCTCCATTCAGTGTTAACGGAGTAGAGCGTGTCATTCCACCCACAAGATCGTTAACGTATCTATACTGACGAATAGTAACTTAAATTATAATTTTCTTCATCACTCAACACACTCCAAGCCAAATACTTGAAATTGTCTTCAAAAGTATCGTGCAGTGGGCATCGTATAGATTGTGAGAGTTAGAATAACAGGCGGAAATATTTCATTCGCAGAGGTTACAGGTGAACAAGGCATCCAGCCTTCAAATATAAATATAATAGACCGTATTCGATAACGGTTCGATGTATCGTTTGGTTCAAAACAATAGAACATAACCTCAAACCAAACTATTAGGATTTGAGTTGGAAAAGCTGAAAATGAAATGAAATGAAATTTCCTAACAATTTCACTTTGCATTGGCATTTGATACTCGAAAGAATAAAAAATCTGTTACAAAAAACCCGTTCTCTCAGATTTCTGAATTTACTTTTGAGGCTATGTTTATGTTTTGAACCAATCGATATCGATACAATTTCACCCGTTTGATGTATCGAATATGATCTCTTTATTTACCTACTAATGAGCGCAATAACTTCCCGATTGCAGTAATGCCTGAATGCAAGTATTTGTGTTCCGTGGATTTGAGTGTTGCCGATAGGAGTAATTGAAGGCGCCTTGAGGTTTTCTGTTCCCTCATCGACCGAACGACGGACGCGACGTCACCGACGCGGTTCTCGCGCTTAAGCGAAGCGTTGCCGCGTCAAGCGAGGAAGTCCAACAAGTCTTCTACATTCCCTTAAATAGTCGGCTATTTAGGGTGATTCTTGCCACTTCCATCGTCCTAAAGTATTTTGATTTTAAAAGAAAGTGTAAAATCTGCGAAATTAATACGAAAAATCGGGATAGCAAAAAATCGGATCAGATTATTATTTTCTTAAAGTCCATCAGATCGAAGGGGACGTCTCGATTTTCCTCTTTCCACGTGCTCCACGATGTGAGGCTTAGGGTCGTATGTTTTTCATCCCAAGACGTGTGGTTAGAATGAACAGTTGGAGTACTAGCTACATATTTAAAGTAAACTGTTTCTAGGTTTGAACAAAACCATCTAATGCCAAATGGTTTGCATTGTTTGGTTCTATACATATGATCGTTTCTTGACTCCTATCTTTACATTATATATGATGACGCAGAAACTGCAGGAACCCGCAGTCCGTTTGCAAAGTCTCAAAATCTCCCCTCGGCCCATTCTGTTTTATCAAGAGATGACAAAACAAAGCTGTCTCTCGAAATTTTCTCGGAATAGTTCTTTCACAGCGAGGAAGAAAAAGTATCCTAAACCGCCCCCGATTTGTACCAAAAATGGTCTTTTTTATTAGCCAGTCAACGAGTTATTACAGAGAGGGATTCACAATTTGAAAATTTTGAGTTAGTGCCCCCAACCCTCCGCCGGGGGGCACCCCACCAAAACTTTTGAAAAAGTAGCGAAAAGTAATTGCAAAATAAAGCAAAAAAAATTGCAAGTAATTTGCATAAAGTAGCTCTGACACCGCAATCACACGCTGAATGTGGGAGCTGAATGCGGCTTGAATGTGGAAGTCATCGGCCCGATGCCTGAATTTTGCGCGTCACGCGCAAAATTCAGCAACGATTCTCAGCAACCATCGGGCCAATTTTGAATTTGTCTGAATTTGATACACATCTGGATGAAAATAACTCGAATTTGCTAAATTTCAGCCGTTGGGCGATGACTGTTGACTTCCACATTCAGGTGCTAAATTCAGCGTCTGATTGCGGCATCATTGACCTAGACGCATCCCCAAAATGTCGTTTTTGTACGTGCATATTGTTCAAACTTTAAAAGGGGGGGGGGGGAAGCCGACACTTCGCTCACCCTCTTGAATTTCATAAAATTTCAATTTTTCCCGCCGTAACGCTGATTGGCCGTTGCTCCTTACCGCGGCGCGCGGCGGGAAGTCCGCTGATTGGCCATTTCATTTAAGGATCGGCGCTTGGCGGGAAATTCACTGATTGGTCGTTAAAATCGGAGACGGCCTGGGTCGATTGTTGAATGATGAATGACGAAACTATTGTAAAACGTAAAACAATTGCATCTCCATCATTCACCTCTTGCAAGTTGGGTCAGGTAAAATTCACCTTACGTCTGAAAAAAAAAAACAATGTGGTTTCTGTCTTTACTGATTAAGTAATTTTACTTTCGTCTCGTTTTATCATTGATATTTCACCCGCTGAAGGTGCCTAAAGTGGTACGTTTCTTGAAAAGTGACTCCAAAGACAATCTGTTAAGTAACATTGGCATCTGAAATAACCTACAATCCCGTTTAATTTGAGTCTGAGCCCTGTTATCTTGCTCATTTGCATTCAGTCCTCTGGGTATACAACCGTCTCATCTCGACCTCATCTCCCTGAATCATGAGGTGCTCTTCTTTTATTTATGGAAATCCAGTGGAGTAAGATCCCAACCATCTGTTGCTCTTCACCTCCTAGTGCACTCAAAATGCCAGTATCAAATTCATCATGCACAAGTCAGTCTCAGAAGTAAGCTCAATTCACTGAATCCTCCGTCTATGCTCGAACGAAGACACTCTTATGCATTGGTACTATCCTGCAAGTGTCTGACGTAGTGACTGTTTGTATTCTGGTGATCAAACTGTCCTATTAGTTCCTAGACTATAGTTATTCTTGCTGCGCTTATTAAAGACGCCGGGGGACGAATTCAAATCTTTGGAAAGTAAAGCCATCAAGTCTGAATCTACATGGATACGCTCTCTTGAAGAGGTGATGCTAGTGTTTTGAAGGTGAGTACGTACATGCAGAATTCAGTCATCAATTTGAGTCATCAAGCGTTTCTAGTATTCTGGGTCAGGAACATGTTACAGGTATTCTATGTAAGTCTTGCAAAGAAAATAATAATAGAACTGCTCTAATAAGTCCTCATGACACAGTAAGGCTTGTCATTAGTAGTAGTATCAACAATTTTGGACAACCATCAGGGTTGGCTAGTGAATTATATTCTGTAAGTTTTCGAAATGTAGCAACGTTGTCAAAGTAAACTCAGCTGTCAACGTTTGCTTAGCTCCTCTGTTTACTTTAAGCAACTTAACGGTTCAAAGACTCCTGCATATGGTGAAGCATAAATGCTTGAAAAATTTCAGAATTCATTTTGATGGCAAAACTGCTGGACTGTACCTTTTAATTTGTGTTACTCAGTGCAGTTGCTCCTCCTGTCCCACTTACTTATTTCAATGAAAAAATTCTCAACGCCGTCACTTGAAATCTTCCTTGATTTTTCTCTGCCATGTGAAAAACATTCGACAAAAATTTTAAGGATTGGCTTTGTCTTATCATTCTTTGATTAGAAAGAATGTGCCGAGCGGAGATTTTGAAATTTTGGGAACGGACTACGGGTTCTTGCAGTCTCTGCGTCAGTATGTACCTAAGTATACAAATCAAGGAAAGATTCATCAGAGCCAAATAATGCAAACCATTTTGCATTATATGATTCTGTTCGTTTACTTTAATTATATAGCTTACCCATATGCCAACTGCACATCCCGACTAAGCACAGATGTAGACTGTGCGCAGCAAACCAATGGCAACTGTCCATTATTTCTACTACTGTCAAGCAGAACATAAGCATGACTACAACATTCTTGGTAGAGCCTAGGGCGGCATTGTCAGTTTGAAATATTTGCTAGCATTTGGTTCTACCATTCACAAAATACAATTAATTGTATTTTGGAAATTATTTAAGTAACGATCTATATGACCTCTCAAATTCATTGAGGGCTTGGTAAAATTTTATCATCTGACGTTGTTCTTGTAGGTAATTACTTTAATTTTTTATTATATTTCCTTTTCAGACCAAAGTGAAGGTCGCAAGCATAGAATGACCTCTTTTTTAACGCCAAATCGCCATGGCTACTCAGTACGGTTTTCCCCATTTGATGGAAAAAAAATTGTGGTTGCTACTTCTCAGTATTTTGGGCTCGCAGGTAATTACTATTATTGAAAAACTTAACCTTATTGAAGTCACTTTTATTTATAAGTATGCTCCATTTCCTATGCCAGATGAAAACTAAATTTATGGGGATGATAATTTTATCTATTAAAATTTTTGTATTAGCATCACAACCTCTTCCCTCTTTGATCTACTTTTGCAGTTCAGAGGTTGTCAAAGATCATCGTTCACTAGGGGTCTTTGTTTCTTACATTGGTCCTCATTTTCATTTGTCCAGTCTACCTATTTCCAATAATATCAATCAATTCTGTTACTTAAGTACCCACTACCCAGGTATTTCCCATGAAGACATGGAATGAAGTTCAAGGTTATTTATATAGCCCATGCTGAAAATGCTTGATGCTGAATTGTCTGAGGATTGGCAAACTTCAGCTTGATTTGCATTTAGCACAAGTGGTATTTGACTGTCAAAAAATAGCAATGCTCAAATGAAAAATTAAGTCCTGCCAAGCAACCTCCTTGATTTTAGGACCCCTCTCTATGTTCGTAACAGCAATCAAAGTTTTTTGTGTTACAAGATTTCACTGCACAGATTGACAACAGAAGGTACTTATTAAATGTCACTTGGGTTTTATTTGTTTGTGTCTTTTTTTTTATCCTAGGAGGTGGAACGCTATTTGCGTTGCAGGTGACACCAGATGACTCTCTAGTAGAGGCGGGCAAATTTGAGTGGCCAGATGGCTTGTTTGATGTGGTGTGGAGCGAAACAAACCCTGATCTTGTTGTCACAGCTAGCGGTGACTGCTCTCTCCAGCTTTGGAACCTCTGCCAAGATCCGGTATGTACTACTTTGTCCTGCATATCTATTCAAAATGAAAAAATTGTAACTTTAAAAATCGATATCTCAAGAACGTTTGGGAGGTGGCGGCTAAAAGAAAATACCCCAACCTTACATTTGTCTCTTCTACATGTACAAGCAAAATGAACCCAATCCCAGGATGTCACTTTGTAGACTCCCCTCGTAAGCCAGAACATTTTACTCAAAGAACTTGTTCAATGAGGATGTTGCATGTGTGAGGAATTTGCGATTTGACTGATGATTCTTGTGGGAAAGTAGCAAGAAACATGATGGTGCCACTGGTTTTCTCTGAAATCAACTCCCAAGCTCAAAAAAAAATCTCAAGTCGAGGCGAAAATGGAGGGGATATCCCACGCTATCCTGAGAGTCCACGTCTAGGTACATCAAGACAAACTCTCCCAGCGAAGATAGGGAGCAAATACATTAGCAGGGTTGCCGTGTTTTCAAATTTAGAGTCTCCAAATAAAGTGGCAGCCCTGTCAATTTTTTTGCTCCCTATCTTTGCATGAAGAGAGTTTGTCTTGATGTAGACGTGGACTCTCAGGATAGCATGGGATATCCCCTCCATTTTGGCCTCAACTTGAGAGCTTTTTTTGAGCTTGGGAGTTGATTTCAGAGAAAACTAGTGGCACCATCGTTTTCCTTGCGAACTTTTTAAAAGGATCAATCGGCAAATCGCAAATCCCTCTCACATGCAACATCTCCATTTGTCGAAATGTCCAAGGCAGTAGCTTTACATGTTGTACTCATTATCTTTTCCATTTTTCAGTTTCCTGTACAAATTTTCAAGGAACACAAAAAAGAAGTTTACTCAGTTGACTGGAGTCAGACACGAACTGAGCAGCTCATATTATCTGCATCTTGGGATTGCACGGTAAAACTGTGGGACCCAACTCGAAAAGAATCACTCGCCACTTTTCCTGGTCACTCGCAGCTTGTATACAATGCTAAATGGTCACCCCATGTACCATCTTGTTTTGCGTCTGTATCAGGTGCGTTTTAAACACTCAACATCCATCTTACTTAACTTATCCATTGTGAAGTATGAGCAATGATATTCAAATAGTCTGTGATCCTAAAATGCTTTCCACTGCCTTGCAAGTGTGCATTCCTTCGGTGCTCAAAGCCAGGAAACTAAATGTAAATTTGTGTCAAGAAACCCTGAACTTAATTTTTATTCATACCTTTTAAAAAAGGGTTAACTTACAGAGTCTGAGAATTATCTTCTAAGAAAAGAGGAAGTTCGAGGAGGGTTTGACGCAAACAAATATTTAATTTGAGCATTAAAATAATGCAATTTTACAGCTCTTGTTGGTATGCTTAGTAAATGTAGACATTTTTTCATTTAATTGTTCTAGGGATTTGGTTATGGTGTGCATTAATCCTTTTAAAATATTAGAAACAATTTCAGCACAATGAAAAAAAGTTGATGCTAGTTGAAATAACTGGCATCTTAATTGTAAAAATTTGTCACTAATCTTACATTTCATGAATGAAGGAGGAGTCACTTTAATAATAAGCATATCTGTTGGATCCTTCCATTTTAGGTGACGGAACCTTGCGAGTGTGGAATGCACAGCTTCCTCAGCGAGCATCGATATCTTTCAAAGTTCATGATGCTGAAGTCCTAAGCTGCAGCTGGTGCAAATATAATCTCAATCTCCTGGCCACAGGTGGATCGGAAGGTCTGATACGAGGCTGGGATTTGCGGAACCCCAGTTGTCCTATATTTGAACTCAGAGGCTGTGAATATGCTGTGCGACGAGTGCAATTTTCTCCCCATCAGGCATCTCTTTTAGGCTCAGTCTCGTACGACTTCACCACGCGCATTTGGGATATCAACCAATCACCAAGTGCCATAGAAACAATCAAGCACCACTCTGAATTTGTCTATGGTTTGGACTTTAATAATCTCGTGGAAGGTCAGATTGCTGATTGTGGCTGGGATTCTTTAGTGCATGTATTTAGCCCTTCATCATTACGCGATAGGGAACAACGATAACTTCTGCCTAGAAGGCACTATTGCTGCTAATTAGTTCCAAGAAATTTTCGTTCCCCTTGGGGTAGCATTTTTCTTTTTCAAAGCCCACAGTACTCTTAAATCATAAAAATATCCAATATTTTCAAGAGTACCTGTAAAATGGAAGTTTTTCTCTGAAAATTTGGGCAGCACCGTTGTCCTAGTTACACAAATGCAAAGGTAAATGGTACTCTGGACCAAGAGTGCAAAATGTTCACAACTGAAAGACTGACAGTTCAGGATGTGGTTGTTACCACAAATTGAAAAGCTGGAGGGCTCTTTTCTTTCTTGGAGCGTCGGGGAATGATGTATTTATGAGTTAAAGTCACACAGAATGATGCATTTCCTTTGAATCAGGTTGAAAAGCAGATATCCTTAGAGTAGTAGCAGTTGTGTTGAGGCATAGTCCTTAATATTTTTGGTTGTACAAATTCTGCACTCAAAGTGGCCCAACATGGAGAGGTGCATGTCTATGAGAAATGTAAAATGTTAGGAATTTTACCTGACTCTTACCAAATTTTGAAAGACGAAGAAGAAAAAACTAGATTCTATTTCAGATAAGTTTACCTCCTGACTTTACCAAAGCAGATGAAAAGGGTAAATCCATCTGAAATGAGGTCTAAAAATTTAGTAAGAATGCTCAGAAATAAATAAATTTTTCATTGAGTCATTTCATTTAAAGGAGGCTATCGAACAAATTATTGTAAACTAGCTATGTAACATGTGCTGCTGTATGCATGCCAAGCCATGGAAAAGACTCAATCCTGCTATACGAGAAGGACAAGTGAAAAAAGGGGAATGCTCCGCACTTCTGTTTCTGAACCAAGTCAAAGACCTCTCCTCTAAAAGAGTAGGGTTTTATAAATTCACTCTTTCAGCATTGAACAGATTTTCTACTCCACATTGATACACCTATCTCATTGGTTAGCATCTGCAAATTTGCAATAATGTGATATATTTTGAAGAAAGTATATGGAAACTCAGACATTTTAGTCGAGAGTGTTTAAGATAACGACTTACATTTTTTTAAGTCAGAAGATTCGTTGGATCTCAATTGTGTAAGTAATGGATATTTTCATGTTCTCATTTATGGAGGTATTAATTCATTTGATGAAATTAAAATACCTATCAAAGAATAATTCCAGAAAATGGACAAGCTAAATGTCAAAAAATGTTATGTTCGCTCTACAGCTAAAAATAGGCAACATTGTTGCTGCTTGTTGTCCATGGTACTTGACTGTTGTGCCCCATTGTTGTCGAGCTTGTATCTTTAAAAAATCGGCTCAATAAACCAGCATCCTTGCTTTCATTTTCTCCATTCCTTTATTTTTTCATCCCTACCTCTCAGCCACTTGTAATGCATATTTGCATTATTTCTTCATTGTTGACATTCTGAACTTAATGTAACAGAGACAATGTTGCGGTAAGAATATTCACAAATGGACCCCCAAAGTTATCCATTTTCTTTCATGTTTGGCGTAGCCTTCATACAGATACTGAACACAGTGTCACAGTCTTCATGATGATTAATGCACACTTTAGTAAACTTTTCAGTAAACTGAAAATCTCAATACGAGAGAAAAAGCTCATTAAAGATTGAAGCACACGACTCGTGTGTCCACCGCAATCAGTTTGTAGATGATAGTGGGTAACATTGAAGCATATTTACCTTCTTACAGGAGATATAGAGGCAAGTAGAGATAATAGGTGTGATAAGAGTGTATCACAACTATTGGTAGGTAACCATTTAACAGAATAGATAAAATTACAAGAGCAAATTTGATAAAAATCATTTATTAGGTGCATTAAATGCAACCTGTTATGATTTATTGGAGTTATTGAATAAAAAAGCATAATTAAAACAGCAGTATTAAAAAATATAGGTTAAAGCATATTAAAAGTAACAATAGAGATAAATCAGAAGTTAACAAACCAAAATAACAAGCCAACCTCTAAAACAAAAGACAAAGGTTGGAATGCAAGCAAAAATCAAAAAATAAACTGTGATTAAAAATTTTGCTTCAATCATTGCCGCAGCAGAGTTTTCAGACCAGACTAACACCAACATGCCTTTTCTTAGACATGATCAAATATCTTTGGACAAGATGGTGAAACTGCAAAAATGCAATTTCCGGTTGGCGATATTGCAGACTTGATGTCATACTTCATTTTCTACGTGGAAAACAAATGAACATCACTTTTGTATAACTTCAATAAATTTTATTATCTATTCAAAGAATATTCTGAGAAAATTTCAAGCCAGGATGTTGATTCTTTCTCCTTATGAAAACTAAAATGAGAGCAAAGATTTTGAAACACCGCAACCAAGATCAGCATTTTTGCAGTCTCACTGTCAATGTCAGTAGAAGTATCGAAAAGACAACCAAAGACCATCAAAAAATAAAAGAATAGCTATACCTTGGTTAAATATGTTTTTCAGTTTACTCAAGACCTGTTGCATCAATCTCTGATGACAAAAAATATTTTTACATGCTACTACCATACGACTTTGATCAAAGTTGATGTGAGGTAGTTTACTTTTAAAAAAAATCCATGTTTAAAAGATTGAATTAATATGAACCGATTTCATTGAAAAATTAATTAATATGAAGTTTAATGGTGATGAAGGATTTAATTTAAAAATATGCATGAAAATTTGTAAAAATTCAAAAATTAGATGATTAGGATACATATTATGATGAAATGGCACAGAATCATTGAAATGTTGTGATGTTTGGAGAGCGAAAGGTACATCTTAGACATGCAATCTAACCAATAGAAGGGAACAGTTCCAAATATTTGACTTTTCCCATTCCACTCTTTCTCAAGATAAGTATTGTTTTTTACATATGAATCGCAAATACTCGAAAAAACTGCCCCATAAGTTTAGGTATATTTGCATAGAGAAAAAAAAGGAGGTGTTTGCATCTTGAGGATTTGTACCCACCTACGTCATCAATGTAAACAAGACGCTCGTTGAGGGTTATGTTGACGCTGTAAAAACGGACCATAATGTCCGATTTTTTTACTTAAATCAACTCTTTATATAATTTCAAGCACTTTTTATAGAATGACTTTTTCTCTTAAATTACACCATTTCCAAGAAAATCGACAGGATAAAAACGTCGCTGTACCCAATGACGTCATCAAAGCTATAGATACTCTATGAAAAATTCCAAGATGCCCGAAATGCAAACACCTCCTTTTTTTTCTCTATGGTATATTTGTACTTGAACTGTTCATAAACCTATTAGTTTTATAAAACTTTCACTATTGTGTACTTGAACTCAGTTCCTGGAAGCCTCTGAAATAATTATTCAGACAATTATTAACAAATAAATAATTATCACCTGTACATAACAGTTAATCACAACTTTTACTGCTAACTTTCATGGGCACACTTTATTCTTTGAAACCTCCAAAATCAAATTTTAGGCGAATAGAATTTAAATATTAAATATGTGATACGACTGTGTCGTTCCCGTAAAAAATTTTGGCAGTCTATGATATCAATTTGAGCAAGTTTCCTGCGATTCTTCACTTTTTTTATACTTGCCCACTACTTTTATAAAAATACTTAAAAGAAAATAATGATTGTAAAAACTTAACAAATCAAAAGTATAACAATTTGAAATGGCACAACTACAATTTTGATCACACTGAATGGAAGATACAGTAGTGCTGTTTCAACAGCAAGCTTTTCAGACAAAAATCACAACTTAGCATAGTGAGATTCATGAACCACCATGCTTTTCTGAATATCTTCAACGGATAAGGCACCTGCACAAAAAGAAAAGAGAGCATCATTAGCTTTTCCCGGTTGTGGTAAACTTTGGCCCTAGTGATTCATACTTGATACGAAATATTATCAATATGCATATTCATCACAGGTCGAGATATACGTTACAAGTTTTACTTAAGTTTTGGTTCTTTGAAAGCATCAGGAGAAAAATTTTCAGTTTGTCATTATCTGCAATGTAAATTGCATATTTAGAGCAGCTCAAACATTTTTTGCTGGAATTGAAGGAGGCTACCACATGCTATTACCAAGTTAACTTGTATCACATTCGTCAAGAGTTTAATTTAAGAAAGACACAAATAATAACTGGCCAAAGTTAATCCTTGGATCATTGAAGTCAGTGGCCTAGATATGAATTCAATATCGGATAAAAAATTGTATACATCCATAAGAGTATGAGCCGCTTTCACAGTGTTCTCAGAAGCTATGTGACATCTAACCATCACAGATTTCTATCCTCCAAAGCCCCTCTGGGAGCTGGCATTCCCTCACTTCTTGTTCAACACAATGTTACCACCCTTCCATTGGGTGTCCCCTTCATTGCCTCTCGGAGGAAATCTGAACAGACATCTTTCTTGGCAGCTTTTCTTCGGTCATTCTGATCTGACCACACTAAATTAACTGTTTCGTCATGCTGTCAGATATGATGTCATTTTCGAATGCCTGATCTAACACACTCGAGAAGTGGAATGAAGGAAGGTATGAGTGCATTCAATAAGGGCTTTAGATTTGTTCAACGAGGAAATTTTTTCACCATGACAACGAAAAAGTAAAAATTATTGTCTCGACGCCAGCCTAAAGTGTGTTAATAATAGGTTTAATTTCCTTGTTAAAATTAAAGTTTCCCAGGATCAACAGCAAAAAATTACTTAACTGAAAATTTTATAATGTGATAAAGTGAAAATTATGGAACTGTGGTAGGTAGCAGAACTTTCGAACAAAATTACTGGAAAAGTTCTTACCTGCTAAGGCAAGAGCATTGTCAAACTCTGATTTAAGAATTTCCAGAACTCTTTTAACTCCATCTTTACCACCGTTTGTCAGACCCCAGATGGCTGGACGACCAACAAATACCTGTGGGAAAATTTAAATAGTTGAATGGAAGCTTTTAACAATTGAGTATTAAAACTAATTTTAAAACAGATGGAAAGATAAATACATATTTTAGATGCTTTGACTGATGGGATACTGTTGAAATTTTGACATTCAATTTAAATATGTTGTCTTCATCATACATTTGCCAATCTCCATGCTTTTAGAGTAAGAAATGACACTGAATATCAGTTCCACAGTAAATACACTAAAAGTTCCGAGAAAAATAGATTAATTGTGATGATAGCTAGAAAGTAAACATGAAAATAGCACTACCATCTTGGCTCCGAGGGCAAGAGCTTTAAACACGTCAGTGCCATTGCGAATTCCACCATCCAAATACACTTCAACTCTTTCACCGACAGCTTCAGAAATTTCAGGCAAAGCTTCAATCTGTGAAATAAAAAGATAAATTTAGGTTTACACCACCTGGTATTGCCTGTCTTATTTGATCACAAAATTTGGCTAAAATCTTGACCTCTGATTAGTTGAGAGCATGCTCTATCTCAACTAACTTTGAAATTGTGCGCGGTCAAAAGATTTAACAGTCATAGGACCACATCTTTTCAAAAAGTGTGTCATTTCTGGACTAAATTAGAGGGCTGTAAAATTACATGCTCGAGGAACGCAGGGGAAAAGTTACATTAATCCTATTGCCAAAAATCATATTCTATAAGAGATGGACCAAATATGAAAATGTGGAGCATACATTATTACTTCTGCAGGGTTGATAAAAAAAAAAAAAACTTGGGAATCTTATTAATGAATCTAAGAGAAGATTTTTTTCAAATTCCTTACTCATCAAATGTTTTTGATAATGCTAAGAAAACAGGCAAAAACATACTGAGGCAGGAGTGGTGTCCAACTGCCTGGCTCCGTGGTTTGAGACTAAAATAGCAGCAACTCCCAGATCAGCTGCAATTTTGGCGTCCTCTCTTGTAAGGATTCCTTTCAGTACTATTGGTAGTTTAGTAATACTGAATAGAAATTTCAGAAGAAAGAAAAATATTATAAGATATGAGTACAATAAAAGATATGCTGGTTACAATAAGAATCATATTGTAACAGTACTTAATTATTTTCTAACAATAAGATGGACTTCAGTGAAGAATTTCCAAAAATATACTTCTGCAAGGAGATGTGCTTTAATACATACAACAGGAAAAAATTGAGAGAAAATGAAAAACATAAAAGACATAAATTTTGAGGGTCTTTCTCCCTTAAAAATGTATCCATTGACAACAGTAAATTTAATAAAATTAATGATAGCTAAACTCCTCTTGGAGAAAATTTTTTCTGCAAGCTAGCCAGAATCCTTCCACAAACCTTCAAGGATCTTCTGAAGATAATCAAAGTTTGGATCAAAGATTTGAACAATACAAAGAGGGCCAAAGATTGGTTGAAAAACATCTTGCCGTTAGTAGGCCATGAAAATGAAGAATCACGCATGTTCGATAATGGAATTAATATGATTTTACAAAATAAAAAAACAGTTTCAGAATTGGTAACGGAAAAAGAGTGTTGTATGCAGAGTTTTTTAGAAAGTTTCCTGAAACTAGCCTCTCTGCCCATTGCATTAAATAAAGCATCAAATACAGGTTTGAGTCATCTTGCAACGTAGCCAAATCGTACATTAAATATTGTTGAATTAAATCTTTAACGGCCAGAAGATAGAGATATAAAAAACAGTCACAATTACCTTTTTAACCATTGGACATCTTTCCAACTCAAGGTAGGATCAAACAAAGCATTGACATAAGAGCTCAAAGCACTATTTCCTTGTCCTCCGTTCATATTCATGTATGACTTTTCATCGGAGAAATTAGCCAACCTAGAAGATTCGGTGAATAGGTATGTTTGAAAAGAATTTGCAAAATTGGACTTACAGCCTCAAAATACAAATAGTGACAAAAAAGAGGAAAATTTTCGATAGCACTGAAGTGGGAGACTGAATGGAGCTCTCTGGCAAACATTAAGTTAGAAACAGTAGAAAAAAAAATATTTTTCTTTTTGTTGTGTGAGAGTCGGTCTTCCTACCTGGTACGTACCTGTCTCCTTTTTCCATGTTGTAGACTTACTATCATATTATATTTTTTCTTCGGAAAATATGTCAAATTCATCGAAAACTTTCTGACTTTTCTTCTCTGTTAGCAGGGTGTTCTATTTTAATTTCAAACTATATAATTGACTTGTTTCTTTTTGAAAAAAGAAAATAGGAACGGAAATTGTGTAACACTGCAACAAAAATGGCCGTTGCCCGTTGTGCCAAAAATTCATTTACATTCACTGCATTGCTGAGCCCAGAGAGTAAATGGGAAGAAAATTGGTAGCATGCATGAAATATTTTTCTACTTACTTCAAATGAGCCGGTATGTCAAATTGGTTTTTAGCATCAGCATAGCGAATGCCAAACTTGGGCGTGTCAACTGTGAGTACTAGAGCTTTGAACCCTGCTTTGTCTGCACGTTCGACAAGCCTTCTTGTAATATCTCTGTAAAAAGTGTATGTATTTATCAAAATGAAAAGTCATACCTTTGCTAAATTTTCAAACAATTAAATTAAGTTGAATAGATTTTTTACAATAATTTTTTTAAATTTTGTTAAACAAAAAAAAAACCAAAAAATAACTTATTTTACTTAAATATCCATGAATAGGAGAAAATGGTCCAATGGACAAGTTAGGAATTAAAGCACGTTGACATATTTCACTGCTTTGACTGTTATGCAGAGAGTAATCAATGTAATGGAAACTTAAGAAATTAACTTTTAAGCGAAACATCTGCATGTGCACTAACGCTGATTAAATGTGACAAATCATTCACATAACATCATTTGTATTTTCGACATTGATTTCATGCTGATGATAAATACTTAAATCTTCTTAAGGAGTGGATTTTTTAACTTCCTGCTGCATGAATCGAGTTTTACATATCATCTGGTGCCTCATTGCTTAAATTTATAGAAAGTGTTTTACTTTTTTCAAATTTTCATTCTTTCAATTTCAAAGGTATTTTTAAAGGAAATACACCAGGCATTGCATTCAGCACTAATGTCAGACAATACCTTTTAGGACCTCTGTGTTGGAGAGATTGAAATTGATTGTCAAAAAGCTTTCTCCGTAGATCATAAAGCCTCTTAACATAGCAGAGATGCTTCTATTTTCTTGAGGTTTCTATTATTGAGGCTCTTTTTTTAAGGCCTGTACACTTTTTGGTAATACCTTTATAGTCAGTGATTTTATATACCTATTAGAACTCTATAAAAAGTCCTTGTTCCTAGGTCTAAAAAGCTGCCCGAGCCATGTGGATAATTTTCCAATTTGTCTCACCTGTCTTTATAGATGTAAAGTTGAAGCCACTTGATTGTATTTGGGGCAGCAGCAGCAACATCTTCTACACTGGTTGTACTGAGAGTTGACAGGATAAAAATAGTGCCCATTTCGCCAGCAGCTGTTGGAATGTAAAATTTGAGTTTAATTTCGCAAAGATGATTACAGATTTTTTTAAAAAAAATTCAGCACCTGGAATATGTACGTTCTAAACATTCTGAGAAGGACGTGGTCCATTTAAAAAGTTAGAGTCCAATTCAGGAATTTCTACCGGTTGAAGTTTTTTGACTGTCTAATTTTTAAAAGAAATCCAACTCCCGATCATGATCTTTCAATTTCCAACTCAATTTTCTAGAGCTGCGATTTGGTAGAATGAAAAAATACAATTTAGAAGTTTATTACTAATGGTATTCAATTTAGGGGGGGGGGACGAGGACCTTAAAGAATTGTTATATTTCCGATTTATATTTTCTTCTTTTTTAAAATTTGAAAACGCCGGCAGTCCAAGAGAAATGATGAGCCAGGGTTGTTAGATGAAAAAAGGGCAGTTTTCAAGTAAAGTTTCAAAATATTTTTAAAATCGAGGAGGGGGGGTTTCCCCTTGAAATGAAAATATTATAGGAAATATATTCAGAACTTAAGATATTTGCATATTGTGATAGCAAAGCAAGTAAGAGACTTTTCCACAGGATTGTGCGAACAAAATTTAAGCAAAAATACGTTTGCTCTGCAGTTTAGATAGTGAATATCTAGCACTGACCTCTGGCAGTGCCAATCTCTCCATCATGATGTGCCATCTTCTGCATGGCTGTTGGTGCTATTCCAAGAGGAAAAGAAATACGATTTCCAAGGATTTTAGTTTCAAGCTGTCGAACAGATACATCAATCATGACACGAGGTCGGATACGTAGCCTGCAATGTGAAGAAAAATTAATGGAGGGAGGGAAAAAAATAAAGATGAGTACAATTCTATCTACAAAGTACTGTATAACATTACAAACTGACTTATTTTCTTGGTAGGTTCATTTTTTAAAAGAAATTTTTCAGAAATAAAAAAGTGCCTAAGCCTTTTGAGTAGGCATCTGAGTTTGTTTAGAGGCAGGTTTTTGACTAGTTGATGAGATGAGGTGGAAAATAAAATTTTTAAGATATCTTTTACCAAAATATTCAAGAGTGTTTATCAAAAATCACAACATACTTAAAAGTGGGGTGCCTATTATGAAAACTGTAACGTTTCTCCAAAAGGAAACTGGCAATGAGTCCTAAAAATTCTTGCGCTGTATCTTTCCAGGCTCCTAATGTGGTTAAACTAGCTTACAACCTATCATATAGAATGGAATGAAAATCCCTGCAAATGTTGAATTTCAATTAAGAAAAGAAAAACAACTGATCTAGACTCCTCATCCAGGTGGGCACTGTAGAGGGCATCAAGCTAAAAGGTGGATAGATGACATCCAAAAAGAGATAAAAAAATGCCAAAATCTCTACTTTGACAGATTCCAGTGGCGGTTAGGGGTCACAGACCACCCTAGTGCACTGTAAAAGCTGCTGATATATAAATAAAAAACGACCTAAGTCTAAGCGCATCAATCTGGAGGATTATCTACTTTGAAAATTGCACAATTCAAGTAAAGGAATAATATGAAAAGATCTGATGATACATAGCGGATGAAGCACTAAGAAAACGAGATAAGCAACATCCCAAATAAACAAAATTACCTTTGAAAAGCTGATATATTGTTGGCCAAAGTTGTTTCATTACAAGCACCACTTTTGTAGTATCCTTTGACTTTCTTCGGTAAAATCTGTAGAGCACTTTCTTCAAAATCTTGAATATTGCACAAGTGATTAAAATGTGGAATATATGACTCCTTGGATGCCATAATATACTTGAGTTCCTAAGAATGAAAGTAAATACTTAGCATACATACTTTTAAATTAAAAATAATTGTAAAATATGTGCAATAATTTCTTGTGATGAAATCGGACTCTTTTCCTAAGAATAAGAGGTTTGCTCGCAATGGTCTTCAGAAAATTTACTTTTTCTCAAAACTTAAAAGTGCAGGATGCCTTACCATTGCAACTTAGAATTGCAGACACAATATTTGTGTCTGGGTCAAAATTTTATTCATGTAATTTCTTCGCAATGGATCTTATTTTTTCTTGTACCTATAGGCAAAAAATAAAGTTTTCATTGAGTAAACTTGTCTGTGGATACAGGGTACCTTTATAGGTATGTTACTCATCAATCCTGGATTTTATTGAGATTTCGACTGAGGAAGCAATGTTTTTGGTTCCGGGAGAGATGTTCCTTTGCCACCTCTTTTTTTTAGTGTGGCTTTTCCAGATTTACTTACCACTTCCATGGAGATTTACAACTTGTCCTTGTTTTATGATTATTCTAGAAACTAAATCCTATCTGACAACGAGCTATCATGGAGCAGTAGCCTATTTATCTCCTTACCCCACCATTTCAAAGCTTGGCTGCATCTTTTTTTAAAACCATAGTCAAATGCATGCCAGTGTGGCAGTTGATGTCGATGATCTGAGCAAATTTACATCACCACACAACATATCATCCATGACAGCTCAGGACTGAAAGGAAGTCACAGGAGTAACTTCTAAAGCTAAAAGATCAAAAAGTAGGTAATTAAAGTTCCATGCGAGTTGTTAGAAGTATTTTAAAGGTGGATCCATAATATATCAGAGCGATTTTAATATACATACCTTTATGTAAGTATAGAATTTGATGTCGAACTTGCTTTTAAATGTAAGACTGTTACATAACTCAGGCGATGTACTTTTAGCTATCCTCTTTGCCAAAAGCAAGAGGGTATAATTCCGAACGGTAGCAAACACTTGACATTTGAACAGTGAACTTGAATCTTAAATTTTATTCAAGTGTCTTATCACAAACAGCAACATCGTCAAAATCATAACAAAGCCACGTGACCTCCATCTTATCAATGATATTAGTGTTACCGCGTTGCCGCGTTGCAAAATAATGTTGGTCTTGATCAAGATCAAGTCTCAGAATATCAATTTTTCATTCGGGAGCGCTAATATTTTTTCAAACCATTGTGCGATTCCATAAACACAGAATATAATGCCTACGAATTCTTTTCTAAGTATTTTCGCAATCTTTGCATTCTTTCTGAGTTCTGATAAGAGCGAGCGCTTTGTTGTGTTTGTGTTGTTACAAGTAGTCTCAGTTGATTCATGATGGCGGAATGCAAGTTCTCAAGTTGTTATCTCGTCAATAGACCGGCGTGTGCACGAAAAATGTGAATTTGTGACTTCTAAGTTCTACTCAAGTCTTACAGACCTAAATTCACCAATTTTATTTTGATTCATATACTCGTGCACAGTTTAATTAGACGTTCTTGCTGTATGATGTGAGTTTACTTTACCGCAAGAGCTCATAGCAGTTCAACTCAACTTCAACTTCATCGTGGATTATCGGCGATCGTGTCTCATCAGTGCACCATCAATTCGAGCGTACCTGTTTGTCTAATTTTTTCACATTTAGTCGAAACCTGGTTGAAACAGCGTGCCAAACAAACCACAAAACCTTTGAGGTGAATTGCACATTATCATCATGCCACGACAACCGGCTGATAACGGGCGACACACGTTGCACCACCTTCTTGCCCTCTGTTTGATCTCTTACTCTTCTTGTCATCGTCTTCGTCTATCTGCTTCCTTTTCCACGTGGATACCGGCTTCAGTAAATTCTTCTGTCCCTCACTAACCTCTGACTCTGCTTTTCCGCTGCTCTAACTTTCCATATCGCTATCATGGCTCCAGTCCGATACCGGAATCGAAAGACTCATCATGCTACAAGCAATGCACTAAAAAGCAAAGATAACTTCAAGAATAATAATTCTTCATCATCTGCCCCTTGGTAACTAACACCTAAATTTAACTTACCGCATGTTACAGGATAATCAAAATACGTTGATGATCTGGAGTTCAATTTGTGAGACAAAGTTTTTCTACCTACCAGTGTGGAGAAAAGTGGGTGAGAGCACATTGTCTCAATGTTACTGCCAAAATTATCGATTCAGCAACGATTTTACATGCATTTTATTATGTTATTTTTGGCAGTTGCTGAGTGAGAATATTATAGCATTACGATACAATTTTATCAGTGCACACAACATTTTTGATGAGATGACTGGTTGGAAACTTGATTTAAGTACAGGTAGGTAGCATTAAAAAATTGTTTGAATCAGCAACAGCCACCCAGATGTAAGGTTGAGAGACATACACATGAGTTCTAAGCAGCATGCCACATGTACATCACATCGTAGCACTTCATATGAATGATCTCTTTACTCTCGAAGCTGCACTACCGCTTCCTGTCGTAAGTCAAGAGTTACGTGCGGTCAAGATTGTATCATAAGTTCATGCTAGGTATACATAGGAGGAGTCAGGCCCACTGTACACTAAAGTCTGTCGTATCACCTCTGACTAGCATGTGGTGCAGTGTGAACTGGTTGATGAATGCTGAATTTATATTTAAATTTATATTACATTTGAAATATAATGATGCTAGGGATGTGGATAGTATGCTATTCTTTAAGGGAATGAGAGATTATACTTTATTTGGTTGTGAGAAATGGGAGGAACTGAAATTGGGAGCTTTTAGAAATAGGGTATGGAATGAATTAATGAAATTTCAGAGAGATAACTGGGGGGAGGGTGAGCTTCTACCGAGATGTTACAGGTGGAAGGAGTTTGGTCTATAGGGACTGGTAAGGGAAAGGTTAAGTATAAAAATAGGTTAGGGATTGGCTCAAACTGGTTCATGAGCAGATGGGATTAGCCCTTGAGGGCTAGTTAAAAAAAAAAAAAAAAAAAAAAAAATTTTGATGTAGAAATACTGCCTAAATTCAGCTCCTTCTCGTATCGTACCCATTCATATTTTGCTGTACAGACTTTACAATTTGCTTTTTCATTACTAATACCTACATTTGCCTATTGATTTCATTTAAGTGCCAAAGCGCACCGACTGTATCATGAGGATCCAACAGCTAACCAACTGTAGACTCATTTCCTATTTCATCAAGCCTCATCTGCTGATAGATATTCCTTCTCATGCAGCTATCGCTTATCACCATGCACTTTTTCTCTATAAGCAGTTGGTATAACTCCCAAAAAAGCGAATCATTTGGTTGTAGGACCACGTAAAGTCTACGATACGAAAAGTGGTAGCTGGGGGCGGAGTTAAAAACTGGCTTGGGGTATTGTCCAAGGGTTGGAACGTTCTAAAGGCTCAAGCTTGCCAAAGATGATGGTGGGTTCAATTGGTTCACTTTTATATTTTCCAATTAATTTATGTTGGGCAAAACCATTCCCACCTAATTATTCATCATGTTTCTAAATAACAATGGTCAGTTTTCCTGAAGATGGAAAAATGAAGGGCTGAAAGGTTTAAAGTTGCTATGAAAATATGGTCTAATGTAATCTTTATGGGTCAATGACATCAAGGACTAATGTATGAGACACCTTTTGGAAGAGCCATGCCCAACTATCTTTGCTCACTTAGTGTGAATTAAGCACTATCAATAATTATCATTAGGATATTCTAAAGACCTGTACAGTAAAAATTTTAATTGTCAAGACAGGAAAAGCTTTTCAAGATGAGAAATTTGGAGAATCACAATGCGTATACCACTCCTGTATAACTATTTTTGTTTGATTGAACTTCATTCCTCAAGTAAATTATACACTATCTGTATGCTCCACCTCAGAATTATGAAACACAAAAGATATTTATTGGTGTCATTCATTGGTCTTTAATTCAACCTAATTTTGTCTTGTCTGTTTAGTGTAAAGCAAGGAATAGTGCGTAAAGCTCCTCAGGACTTCAATGTCATGTATCCTAGTACTGGAACTGTTTTCAAAATTTTACTCTCTGCAAGATTTTGTGCTGCTATATGGAGTATAATATCAGACTGTGATGAAACTTTCAACTATTGGGAACCGGTATGTATTAGGAAAATTTTATAAGTTTGGACACTCAGTTAAAATTTTGACCTCCAAAGTCAAAACTGGGACCACTTAGACTCAATGTGCATCTTTTAAACATTAATACAGTGGTATCATGCAACTAAGTTAAAAGTTTCTGATGAAAAGATGCATTTAATTAAATCAAACATTTGCTGGAGGGTTGCGAAATTTATTTATTCACACCTACAGATTGGACATCTATACGCATTGATGAATGTTGGATAAACTCAGAAGTTTGAATGAAATGCAGTTAATTCTCATTAAAGTGGCTTTCTTGACCAGAGAAATCTCAAAATCATTTGTGATTTTGATTGAACAAAATCAAGTAAAAAATTTAAATTTTGTCCACGGAACTGAGAACAGAAATGTAAAAAAAGTGTAAGATATTTTCTGCAGTTTTCTGCAATAATTTTCATAGTCAACACAATTTTCATCTCCGCCAACATATGTTAAAGTTCATGTATTTTAATTTTAGGTAACATTAATATGTTCTAGTCTTCTCAGAAGTTTTTAAAGTTTAAAAGGCATGATTTGATGCAATAGATTTTAGAAAATGAGGTGATGGTTTAGAAAATCAGAGGCTTAAGTAAGCAAACTTACTTACATCATTAATTCAATCAGGGTGTCGGCAGGTCCAGGAAAACCAGAAAGTCTGGGAAAAATGTTTTGAGTATTGGTGACTGATTCAGTAGTCTAGAAGGAGTTGGAAAATTTTACACCAGGTTCAGAAAATTTTAAAATCCTGCATTTCTGTATCTGCATTTCTGTCTTGTATCAAAATCAGTGAGCAAAAAGAGTCTACCCACCAGCCCAAAAAAAGTCTGTAATTATTTTTCAAAAGTCTGTAGCAAACTAATGGGCCTGTTGCAAACTTTTGCTAGAGCAAAAATAAGAGTTGTTTCTTATAGATAATGCCTCAAAAATCACGATGAGCGCATCGGCAAAGTCTGAAATGCACTCATAACTTCACAGTCTGCGTAAGAAATTTGCGGTTTTTTGAGCTTCCCGCTTCAAAAACGATACTACGGCATAGGTGAACATTTTGTAAGAGGAGTCGTTCCATCGTCGGCAATAATCATCATGGCCGACGCCAATCCGCCAAAACACGTTTGATGGGACGAGATAACACCTGAACTGGATTAGACCAGATAACAATCGGTGTGTTAACGTTCATATTTTCCACGCCCGAATTGATTGACCTTGAACTCTCCTCGAATTACGCGCGGAACTGCGCGCAAGCGTCGGCCGTGATGAATATCGCCGACGATGGAGCGACTCCTCTAACAAAATGTTCACCTGTGCCGTAGTATCGTTTTTGAAGCGGGAAGCTTAAAAAAACGCAAATTTCTTACGCAGATTGTGAAGTTATGAGTGCATTTCAGACTTTGCCGATGCGCTCATCGTGATTTTTGAGGCATTATCTACAAGAGACAACTCTTATTTTTGCTCTAGCAAAAGTTTGCAACAGGCCCATTCTACCTCTCAAAAGGCGAATCTAAATCACAATATTATCACCTTTTTATTTTTATTTCAGAGTCATTTTCTAATATTTGGTAGCGGGTTCAAAACATGGGAGTATGATGTCAAGTATTCTCTCCGCTCCTACTCATTCATATCATTTTTCACTTTTCCTGTCTATTTGTATGAGTTTTTTTTGAAGCCGAACAAAGTTTTGCTCTTCTACTTTGTGAGATGTATCTTGGCATTCTCTTCAGCATTTTGCGAAGTTTGCCTGTACAAGTAAGTAAGGTGTTTTTTTTTTTTTTTTTATTATACAATCTACTCACTCTCTCGAGCGTTCATCAGTGTTCATCATTTAATATGGCTGGACCAATTGAACGTTTTTTTTTTATTTCCTCTATGTTCCCTGCCCAAGATTACTACTTTAACATTAACGTTTTTTTGCAAAACTGTTCTCATGGCCTAGAAAAACCAGCAAGAAAGCAGCAGCATTAAAATGCTTTGAACCTTGATTTCTACCAATTGCAGTAATGCTAGCGCCTCCTATCACTTGCATATGTGTAACTAGTGATCTCAATCAGTTCCTTGGTTGGCCCATCAACTGCACTCCTTTTGCTTAGGAATAGAATGAAGATGCATCATATAAAACACCAGTCCAGGGACTTTAGCCGTCTTGCGAGTTAAGTCTGTGGAGACTCAGTCTCGGAGAGTGAGTTTGGCAGGCGGGCCACAGGCAGACCCGCGCCAGTGGTGCTGGTCTGCCACGATGATTTTTGGCAGCCTCGGACTACTGCCGCGATACCACACATCGGCCGACGCCCGGTATCAGGGTAGTGATCTGAGATATTTCATCAGCTGATGAAGAGGCTCAGGCTCAGGCTCAACAGCGCCTGTATTTATGCATACAGGGGTAAATACGCTTGCAGTTCGCCTCCACCGCGGCTGGGAATTCCTGGTCTCTGTCTTTCTGAAAATCATTCTTGCGGCAAACTACATGAGCATGAATGTATTTTGTCGTCTCTCGCCTCCTGGCCTGACGCATGCCATCCCAGCATCTCCCGCTCTGCTGATTGTGGGATGCCTTCTTATTTTCATTTCACTTTCAAATGCTCCCCCCAGAGCCGGATTTTGGGGAGGGCTAACAGTGCCATGGCACAGGGCGGCAAATTTTTTGGGGATGGCAAATTTCGTTTTTTTTTTTTTTTTTTTTTTTTTTTTTTTTTTTTTTTTTTTTTTTTTTTTTTTTTTTTTTNTTTTTTTTTTTTTTTTTTTTTTTTAATAGAAAAAGAGAGGAGAGAGAGAAAAAAATGGGGGAAAAAGTATTCAAAATTTTTACGTAACGATAAATATAGCAATATAGCGATAAGGACCATTAATATTATTATATGAAGGTATTTTATTCTTTAAATAGATTGTATAATTTGTATAAATATTTTCTTTTTAATTTTTTTTAAGTAGATTAGAACTAATTGGCAATTACTGCATACAACTTAGCTGAATAATAAATACCCTCGGCTCACGCCAATGTAATGTATTTCGTTGTCTGTTTATGGGTTGCAAAGTCGCCCGGGCGAGGAAGTAGGATAAGTGCAAGGCGATGTGATTGGGTGCTGCTGCATGCCATCGCACCAGCCAGTCCTTATTGAAGGAAGGAAGAAAGTAGGCAGATCAAATCTGATGATTAAATGAGGGGGAAATTTAAATAGAGCACGCACAAGGACGAGGCCGAGCAAACCGCGGAAAATCCCGATGTCCACTTCTGAGAAGTTCCTGTGGGCACACTGCCCATGGGAATCCGCCAGCCAGCCGGTCCGTCCCTAAGGAGAGAGTCTGTGTCGTCATTGAGATTGGACCCAGTGGCCTTTGAGAGAGAGACGGTATCGGCAGCAAGTCTGCCGTACGGTCTCGCTCAGAGAGCGGACTCGATAGAGCTGCATCGATGTTGATCTGACGCTGATGATCAACTCCCTCCAGGTGGTCCATGCCCAGACTTGCTGAAGAGAGATCGTTTTTGCGTCAAGATCGCCCGCTTACCTGACTCCCAATCCTGGCACCAGTCACTGTGATCGTCTTGAGGGAATGTGACCAGTCAAAAAAGAACTGTATGTCCGGTCATAAAATCATAACATGCATTTCAGGTAGTTGAGCCAAAAGTTTTAGATTCCTCTTTAGGTACAAAAATATGAAGTGAAAAAAAATATTTTTGGAAACTTTTTGCAATGTTTTCTTGCGTTCTTAGCCTTTAATTCAATGTTTTGGATTCAGCTCAGATGATCCAGGGTAGTTCGTCAGGAATTCAATAATGGTTTTTCTCTGTCAATTTTCATAATTTTGAGACTATCTATTTACTGGTTGGACAATATCTTTCTTACTTCCATTTTGTATGTTTCAGAGGAGTTTGTTGGGAATTTGGTGTGCATGTTGGAAGACTGATGCTAATTTTCCTTCTGTTTAGTCCAGCCATGTTTATATCTTCAACTGCATTTTTGCCCTCAAGTTTTTCCATGTGAGTGTTTTGATGCTATTTTTTTGTATTTTCAACAGTAAGAATTACGTTTTTTCTGAACATGCTCACTATTGTTAAAAAATTGATCCATTCAGATAGAGCCAGGGATGATAAAACTTCAAGATATCAAACGACTTTGAAAATGAGTGCAAGGATGTAAAACATATGGTAGAGCAGAATTTCAAAGACTTCAGGTGATTTAGCTTGTCTGGAAACTTTCAGCCCAAACTTTGTTAATCAGAACAGAGCTGTAAGATTGAGTCGCAACAATTAGTATGTTATAAGTTGATAAATCGAACCATATCCAAATAATATATTTTTGTACAAAGAGATTACCAATTTGAAAAAAATATACTGTAGTATGAAATTCGCTTAAATCAGCTTGAACCAGAGTGGCTGTATTTTTAGATATGAGTTGTTGTAAAGTGGTTTTTGCTCAAATCTGCTAAAATATCAGGGTTTTTTTTTTAAACTAAAGAATGCAACAGCCAACCAGTTATACAAATCTCTTTGAATTTTGTTACAAGTCAAGATTATGATTATTAATTCTATTTCTCAGGCACATGACTTCTGTCTCATTTGGTCTGTGGTATCAACGAAAATATAAAGGTGCCATTCTTGCAACTGCTTGTTCTGCACTGTTCAGCTGGCCATTTGCTGCTGTTATCGGGTAAGTTTAATGTTGAACAATTATTGTCAGTTAACATCAACTCTGAAAAATCAATTGGTATGTCAAGGAGAATTTTCCATGTTGGAAATAAAACTTATCAAGTACGCATTGAAATTAAAAGAGTCCATCTTAACTAGAAATATTTCATCACCACAGGTATACTTTTGTTGTCATGACTGAAATTTTACTCGGTGTAATTAGCCGTTTCCCAGGGGAAATTAGTATTAGAGCAAGTGCTAGTTTGTGTGTTCAGCATTATGTAAGGAAAGACCTCTAACCCCACTCTTGATCCTTACAAAGTTTTTCAGAGAATTCACATGAGGCTTGTTGCATCCACACATGCCTGGGGTATATCAACGGTGTAAGTCGGCAATCACATAACTCGGTTTGTGACGTCGCAGACTTCCTGTCATATGTTATTTTTTAAATGGAAAACCACTCAATGGCAATTCTTGAAAACTTCCATGATTTTTCTTCTCCGTGCAAAGAAAATTCTGCATAAACTTCAAGGAATGATGTCAATTTGTTCTCTTTTAAAAAAATAACATAGAGGCGAAGATTTTCAGACACCGCAAACGAGTTATGTGATTGCCGACTTACACCGTCGATATACCATTAATCAATGTTTTTGCAAAAATTATCATTTACAGTAAAGTTGTTGATAAAAGTTGAAAGAGCATTATTATTCTTTTAATAGTATTTCATAATTGTATTAGCTCCTTATTTTATGTATTTTTTTCTATTTTAACCATATTTTATTTTTTTTTAGGATTCCTATTGCCTTAGATATGCTTTTTTTGAAGAAAAAAGTAGTTTCTTTTATATCCTGGAGTGCCATTTCAGTACTGGTGTTTGTGGTAAGTTAAAAAGTTCTATTTAAAATTTTCAATTTCTCTTTTGTATACAGGGTGATCTAGACCACCCGCATCAGGCTTTTTTTGGTTATTACAGGTCAGACAAGGTCAGAGACTGCAGGAATTAATAAGGACTCAATTCCGAGGGGTCCAAATTTCTTCTTCTTGAAGCTTCTCTGGCTTGTATTGAGGGGTAAATTGGGCTCTAACTTCAAATGTGAGGGTTTCCAGCTCAATTTTGAAATTATTCTATCAAATTCAGAAAGCATGGAAAAACATAACCTGAATCAACACCAAGAAATACAACATTGGCCTATCTCTGTCTGGAACACTCACCCGTAAAGGAGGGGGACAGAGCCCTCCCCCCCCCCTCTTAAATTAACAGGTCTCGAAATTGATGAATAGACTTGGAACGATGATGATTTCTTGGGAATTCGCTACCAAAGAATCCTCAGAAAAGTTGATGCAAAGACGAAAAAATCTAATCTTACTCATTCTAAAAAAAAACTCCTGCAAAAACTTGTGAAGGATGATCTCAGAAAGTTTGCACCTTAAGCAGAGTTTTTAATTACCAGTCTTAAACTTCTATTCAACCGGTTTTAATTTTTGAAAAAAAAGGAGTAATTATACAAAGCATGCATTAATTATTTTCTGATGAAATTTCTATTTTTAACTAATTTCTAATGAATATTTTTGAGCATAACAGATTCCTCAATGTTCTTAGTTATTTTCCCTTCCCTGATGCTTACTAATGCCTTGTGTTTAAATTTGTTTCTAAAGCCAATGCAAATCGTAATTGATGCTCAATTTTACAACAAGTTCACCTTTACTCAACTGAATCTAATTTTTTACAATATTTTCTCATCTCACGGGCCCACATTATACGGCACGGAACCTTGGTACTTTTACATCATCAATTGTTTTCTAAATTTCAATATCGTGTTTTTGGCAGCTTGTTTTGCACCTTTAGGGTTGGTAAGTAATAAGAATCAATTAAAATAAATCTTACTATTTACTTAATTCCCAACAAAGTCTTGACCAAGTAGATGCTACTAGTGGTGATTCACCATAAGGATTCCTCATTATATCAAATTAGATCTCAATAATAATAATGGCATAGCCTCTTTCAATGCTATAATGCTATCAATGAGAATAAATGGATGTATAAAGGTTTTTTTTTTTTTTTTTTTTTTTTTTTTTTTTTTTTTTTATTGGTGGTAACACTATTAGCGTATTTTTTCTAAGAACTTCCAGACTAAGTTGTTTTAGCTGTGAATTCTCCAAGTCCAAGAAATGTAACAGAACTTAGTTTATGCTGTCATTATATTCAAAGAAAATTTTTTCAGCTAATTTTTTCTCCTCATGAGAACCAAGGTCTTCCAAAAACTTGATAGCACCCAATTTTTTTCTTCTCTACTCTTCCATCTTGAAAATACTTGAACTCTAAGGAATGTACCAAAATATCCTTCAGAGTACTGAAACTTTTTGCAAAAGACGAAAGTAAGAAGTATATTTATGAGTTCGTGGAACTCAACTTGCATGAAAATCATTGATTTTGCTGAGATATTGCCATATGATTTCATGCAAAAAGAAATGTTTGAAGAGTGTGTCAATCCTTCATGTATTGTTCTCCTACCTTCAATTAATTTTTTGACTAGTAAATTGATCAATCATTTACCCCTACCTGTTATCACCAGTAAGCTCAGAAAACCATGAAAGTATGTCTCGTCTCTATGTAATGTTATGGTTTTTTTTTTTCAGCTGTTGGTAAAATTGTTTGTCCCATGCAAATCTCGAGATGAAGGGTATCTGTCTGTCTACTTGACAATCTTATCTTTTGCCTTATGGTTTGGCATTTTTATCGCACAGCCGCACAAGGTATGTATGCTATTGCATATGTGTTAAGTTGTAAGTGTATTTTTACATTTTTGTCCCAAAATGTTCGTAAAACACTTCTATGCTCTGGTATATCAACTTAACTTTTGAGTTTTTAAGGACCAAGGTTCTTTATTTGCAGATAGTCACACATTGAATATAAAAATATAATTATCGTATATAAGAATGTGTAATTAAATAAGTTCATCATCATACATCCTTAAAAAAATTGAAATCAAGATGAATCTCTAAAGTGAGCATTCATTACAAACTATGAAGTTGCGTGATTTTTGGAAACTCATTTATTTTGTTATTTTGAGTTTATCTAAAAATCATTCATTTTCACAATGTTTTAGCAAATCCAGAAACTTTAAAGTTGAGGTAGAATAAATTTTAATTCTTTTTTTTTCTAGTTTTTACGATCATGCCATGCTAAGGACAGGAATCTTGTCTAATTTTGTAAAATTTTTGATAATTTCCTGTAAGACGCTTAATTGTTGCTTCTTCTGTACAAAGTTTAGAACTCTCGGATTTCTGAAAGATTGAAAAACAAAAAAAAAAAAAAAAAAAAAAAAAAAAAAAAAAAAAAAAAAAAAAAAAAAAATGGTCCCGCAGCTCTGAAGCTTTTTTACATAAAACAGTCAAATTTTCTATTATATTTGTCTAATTCCTTTCTTTATACTTTCAGGAGGAAAGATTTCTGTTCCCAATCTATCCGCTCATCTGTCTGGTAGGAGCCATTGGTTTGGATACCTTCCAAAAATTGTGGTTCAGATTTATTGTCCGATCAGGCACTCACTACTTGAAGCATACATTTTATCTGTGGGTGCCTGCTGTCACTGTTTTCATTCTGCTTGGACTGTCTCGTATTTTTGCACTTAGCAGAGGTAAAGGGGAAACAAGATTTTAAGATAATAGTTAAAAGGAATCTAGCCAAGAAAGAAAGACATGAAATAATTGGAATATTAACAAAATTTTAGTATAAATACACTCAAATGTTACCTAACATGCATCCAAATCCATTGTATTATAAATATTGTTCAATACTTTACCTGGCTCCAATCAAAAGATTCGGGTTTATTGTAACTTAATTGCAAAATAGTGGTGAACAATTGAAAGTTAGAAAAAAGAGTAAGTTATGCATTTAAGTTTCAGAAAATTTTCCAGGTAAAAAATCTGGAGTATAACTAAACATTGATTGAACATAGTTAACTGTCAGAACTTTAAAACTCAGCCTGGCCTAAAAGCAGAATAGTTAGGCTTGAAAAAGTCTAAGTGAGTTTTCAGCTACAGCAAAAAATATTGACCATGATTTCTTCAAACCTTTTTGAAGTGAAAAGTTTTCGCAGCAGAATCCAATCAATAAGTTGACAACTCAAAGGTATTTTGTTCTATTGGATGGTCTAAGTAACACCTTTGCCGCCTGAACTAAGAGGAATTGTGCTAATTTTTGTCCTGCTTTCAATTTGTGAACACTTTCAACTGCTTCAGGATACAAACATGTACAGTGTACACCTCCAGTATAAAGAGAACTGAAATTTTTCAAGGGATGATTTTTAAGCTATGCAATTCCTGCTTCAAAAGTCAGTTACTGACGTCAGCATACAGATCTGGTGACAAAGTGTTACACTACCTGGTATTGCCAACATGCAGTGTGCATTGAACTTACAGAAAGCAGTATCTTTAAAACTGACCTTGGAAACATGTTAACCCAACAGAATTATCTCTGAACTATTTCTATTTTACTTTTTTTAGGATATCATGCCCCAATTGATACATATATGGAACTAAGTGGGATTCATGCCGATAATGCAGTAAATGCTCCTCCTGGTCAAACCATCAATGTTTGTGTAGGAAAAGAGTGGCACCGATTCCCAAACTCATTCTTCTTACCCTCTGATCAGTAAGCCATCTCTTCTTTTTCCTTTTATATTTCTCACAATAACTTGGCTGTTTTTGAAATTGGCTCAAAAACTGCTGCTGTTAAACAACTCTAGCTTTAAACTAGGGAGTCTCCTGGGAGAAGGCGCAGAGGGCGTTCAATGAGAGGTTGGAGGGATGGGATTGAAGCAGAAATGTTGAGGTGCTCAATGCCCAAAGTGTTGTGGTTCGACAGAGGGCAGTGGAGGTTAGGTGTTGTAGAGCACCTGGGAGTGCTATAAAGCGACTTATATGTATGTAAGTAGGGAGTCTCCAAAACTGAGAGATTGCAGGTGGAGGAAAAAATCACTTCATTCAATCAGAAAGAGTGCTTTAGCTAATGCTTTCTTGACTGTATTGACTACAGTGAAACCCTTGGTATCCATGGTTTGGAGTATTAGCAGTCGTTCAGAGCATTAACATTGTGTTTTCCTCGTGAAGATAGAGTGAAGAAGGTGGTCAAATGAATAATGACAGTCAAATGTCATTTGGTCTCTTTTCTTAAATAGCTGAACTTTTTAGTTCGCCAGATAGTCTAAACTGCGCTATTTGCCAATTACGGTACTTTTTCGATCTGTTTGTTTGGATTATCCACGGTTTCCGATTATCTAGGATGATGAGCATGGAGGATACCAAGCAGGGTACCACTGTATTTGAAATTACAATCATTGTGATGTCAGCTCACATTTTTCCTCTAATTCTTTTTCTTCCTCGAAATAGGTGGCAACTACATTTCATCAAATCAGAATTCAAAGGACAGTTACCAGATAAATTTGAAAAAGATGCTAACGGGAAGCCCAAGCCATCAGCTTTTGTGAATGATGGAAATTTGGAAGAACCATCCAGATATGTAAGTCTTGTACGTATGTGCACCATGCGTAATTCTTTATCGAGTAATCCCTAAGTGAAATTTACACACATTTTCAAATTGTTTAGTCTACCTAACCAATTTCTGGTAATTTTTTTTTCTTTCTTTTTTCTCTCTCTGCACTGCCGAGAAGTGCCCTTTTTGCATCCAGTGCCACAATTGAGGTAGACACCACGCAATTGTGGTTTGATGGATTCTTTTAGCCAAACATAACTTTTGGGTCGCGCACAGTAGGTTTTAAAATATAAACCCATTCCCAAAGCATCCCAATATCCCACAGAAATCTGGAGAAACCATTTTACTAAATTAATTTTTTTTTTTGGTGTTTCTGTGTTCAGGTTGACCCTCATATCTGTCATTTTCTAGTTGATCTCGACAATGGTGTTGATTCAGAGCTAGAGCCCAATTACTCAGCTCACTCAGATGACTGGCTTATTGTTAAATCAGTTCCTTTCTTAAATGCTGCAAAGTAAGTAACTATTGTCTGTTTATTTTGCCGATTTTTACTCTGTTTTCTGAAATTGAAATAAGATAGAAAGGTTCAACTGCTTAACTGTTATTCATTATCAAATGTAATGTGAGCATTTTCAAACAGTGCTGAAGAATCATCCCAGAGCCCTGTTTGACTGCGGGTCCTACAGTTCTAAATTGAATTTTTGTAAATTGCAGATGCGTATTGCAACTTTCTGTTATGTGGCTAATCAAAAAGCAAGCTTTCCTATAAGAAAAATGTCAAGAGTAGTCATTCTTTAAACAGATTTATCAAGATTGGGTTTATTTACTCATGCTTCTCTCTGTCATACGTTCAGAATTATGTCATTTTATCTCTACATGCTTCATTATATCTTTTCAGATCAAATCGAATTTTGCGAGCATTTTACATTCCTTTTCTCTGGAATAGCAACGAATTTGGATCCTACAATCTACTAGCATCCAAAAAGAAGTTTCAGTCCAAAGCTCATTCTTTCAGCTACAGGAAGAAGAATGGATAACTTGCAACCAAACACTAAGGTATGAAAATTAATCATCGGGAATTGTACATTGAACTTGTTAAGCTCTATGTGCAGAATGCAGATGTAATTTCTATCATCAACTGCCTGCATAACTTATTTTTACAAGTTGAGTTTCAGTACTTGTTAAGGGGCAGTATTTTTAAGTTAGCACAAGGAACAATCCTCTTTCCAAGTTTAAATGGCCTATGACTTCTATCTTATTGCTATTCACGTACCCATAGCTCCGTATCATAGCATTTGATAGTTTTAGGTTCACTTTCAAACCTACATACCCCTTCAAAGGCAATGGCAAGTGGAAATCGACATGAAGCATGCATAGAGAACTAAGGCATTTTATGCAATACAGGCATTCGAATCAAATGTTGGAAAATGATAAACATTACCATAAATGTATAAGATAAAACATGATACAGCAGAAAGAGGCAATATACGTATTAAAACATAATGCAGTAGAAATCGGATCATGGTCATAGTAGATTGCCATAGGTATAGTTAGGGATTACCTATTATTGTTGCCTCGACCTTCTATGTTATAGCTGCTGGAGGGGCTCGCAGGGTAGTTGCGTCCTCTTATGTTTTAGCTGCGGGAGGGGCCGTACAGTAGTTACGCTGTGCCCGCACAATGTTCAATTATCTTCTTCAAATTTAACTTTAATTCATGCAAATTTTCAATTTCAATGCGATCATTTTCAATGTGGCCTCAACATGGTCTTCATTCAAACAACCTTCCAGCCATAAAAGATCATACTGTTTGGTCGTAGTAGTTATGATGGTTTCCCTAATATTTCTGACATAGGGTCGTTTCTTTAGGAAATCTTCAACACAATGGAAGCAAGAACCAACACAAGTACTTAATTTCTCTGTGGGATAAACTAAACTACGCTTGGACTTATTATACTCCTTTTGGCTGATCCAGGAATGAGAGGCGCTGATAGGCCTTACATTATAATCTGTCTGTAACGGTGGCTTACAATCTAAGCATTTAACTTTCCTGAGGATAGATCTGGCTATGCTACCTGCAATGTATACAACTGTGTCAGCCTCACCTCCACCTTTGAGAACAGCTGCTTCCATCTCTTTCTCTGTCTTGCCACTCATTGGTACTAAACTGTCTAAAACTTCGCTTACATTCTCAATAGGTTCAGCCTCAGCTTCTAGAAATATTTGCAGGTTCGCCAAAAAGTTGGCTTCATCAGCTTCACAGTTCATACCTCGCGTTAAAAATGCAAAATTATTAATTATGATCGTTTTCAATGCAACCGCGAATTGGGGGCAAGTCGGTCTACTATTACCTCCACAGTTAGCTCGAACGAGACCAAACAAGTTCGCAATCGGATCTTGGTTGAGACGCTTAGGATCTGAGTAGAAAAATCCTACATTTCTCAAATCCAACCAAAAATACTTGGAACAGCTGCTTCCATCTCTTTCTCTGTCTTGCCACTCATTGGTACTAAACTGTCTAAAACTTCGTGTACATTCTCATTGGAATTAGCCTCAGCCTCTAGAAATGTTTGCAGGTTCGCCAAAAGTTTGGCTTCATCAGCTTCACAGTGCATACCTCGCGTTAAAAATGCAAAATTATTAATTATGATCGTTTTCAATGCAGCCGCAAATTGGGGGCAAGTCGGTCTACTATTACCTCCACAGTTAGCTTGAACGAGACCAAACAAGTTCGCAATCGGATCTTGGTCTGAGACGCTTAGGATCTGAGTAGAAAAATCCTACATTTCTCAAATCCAACCAAAAATACTTGGAACAGCTGCTTCCATCTCTTTCTCTGTCTTGCCACTCATTGGTACTAAACTGTCTAAAACTTCGCGTACATTCTCATTGGAATCAGCCTCAGCTTCTAGAAATGTTTGCAGGTACGCCAAAAGTTTGGCTTCATCAGCTTCACAGTGCATACCTCGCGTTAAAAATGCAAAATTATTAATTATGATCGTTTTCAATGCAGCCGCAAATTGGGGGCAAAGTCTGTCTACTGTTACCTCCACAGATAGCTCGAACGAGACCAAACAAGTTCTCAATCGGATCTTGGTTGAGACGCTTAGGATCTGAGTAGAAAAATCCTACATTTCTCAATTCCAACCAAAAATACTTAATTGCTTTAAATGTAGTAACCCAGCTAGGTATGTGCAGAGGAGGAGCCTCTTTGCCGGTGTACTTCCAGGTTCTGACGAAGCGCATACTTTTTTCATAAGATGCAATGTAAGGGCTCTTTTCATCTATTCATGTGCGCAGCACTTTCCCCTTGTAAGGTTTCATACCTCGACCATTGACTGAATCAAACATGTCATCCACGCTCTTGGTGGGGTAGGCAGTGAAAATGGCACTGGGGTCGTCCTTTAGAACGCCTAGAATGAAACAAATCAGAGGAATTGTATCAAGGGAAAGCTATGATACACGTCCATAATTTACATACATTAAGAATTCACTACATTAGGAATTCATCGATAGAATAAAATGCCTCATGAAGGAGGAGCTGCTTAAGACTCCGTAGAAAAGATGCAAAGTCTGCATTTTTGCACAAAAGCTGAAGTACATGACTATGAAGTAAAATTAGTTTTGGATAAAGTATGATTGGTAGTTAGACTAGAGGGATAAAAACTGTAAAATCAACAATGGAAAGAGAACTGACAACAAGTAACGTACGAAAAATAAATTAGTTAAGTCAAGCGGAGAATAGGATTAATAAGGTAAGATGAGTAGTCAAAGAGATAATAATAATTAGAAAAAGACATGGCAAAAAGTGCAAAAAAAAACTAACTATAAAACATGAAATAATGTAATCTATTTTACAAGCTACTTTTGTCTTTAAAAATTGGGATGATCTCTTGCCAACAAAGACAGAAGAGAATAGTGCCCTTTAGATAGAGGGTGCTTCAACTAAATTTTGCGGAAGTCAGATGTGCAAAGCTCCTGTGGCTTCCTGCGCTTTACACGTCTGGTCTCCCCTGCCCAGTCCAGGAGCTGAATTGCCTCTGGATTGGGGTGAGATTCCAGACGCTCTCCATACCTTCCGTTCATACAGGAGATGAAAACGTCCAAACTTTCTTTCCCGAGTTCCGATCGTCTATCCTTGTTTCTCGTGTACCATGGTGCATTAGCAATTTGTCTTAAAACTTGCTTTTGAACTGTTTCCATCTATCGTATGTTCGAATTGGCGGTGCAGGCCCAGAACTGACAGGCATATGCCCAGATTGGCTTTATCATGGTTTTATATAACAAAAGTTTACTATGAAGACTGAGTTTAGATTTGTTTCCAGTTTACCAATACATTTTAATTAATTTAAGTTCAATTTGTTTTTTCTTTCGGTTGATGAGTTCACTGAAGTTTAATTTTGAGTCTATGATAAGGCCGAGGTAACGGGCTGCTTTGGACTGAGGAATCGGTCGTCCATTTAGCACCAACGGAATAATGACATAGTTCCTAAAAGTGAAAACCACATTCTCAGATTTAGTATTATAGCCTCAATTATATTTATACCTCAATTTTTGGGTTATATGAGTTTTTAAATGAGTTTCACAGTGATTACTTCAAAGTTTAGAGCCAAGTTCCAAAATAAATTGATTAAACAGCATTGGAATTCGGGAGCACCAGTTCATCTTCTGAGTCAGATAAATCTAAGCGTACGGCTGTATGTTTCACACGATTTTTTTCCTGCTGCTTTTTTTTAGAATCTTCCTTCTGTTGAAAACAGATAAAACATAAATTAGAGGATATTATATGAGACGGTGGGTATGATAATGCGGTCAAACAGAAAATATTTTTTAGTAACACTTCGTTCGGCAATACCCATCTTTCGAACCTCGTGACGATTTCAATTTTGTGCATCAAGAGAGATGAACAAGCTGAGCTTTCAATACAGCTTTTATTAAGAAAAATTTACGGTTGAAAAGCAAAGCAGACAAAAATTCATGCTTACAACCTGCTGGGCCTGAAAATGTTTTTTTTTTTCTCATCAGCCTTTCAATTTTGAGGCTCATTAGTTTAATAACCTAACCTTCCTCACCTTCGGATTTTTTTTAGAAACAGAGAAGTTCACGAGAGAAATTATTTTAATTTTAAACTTATGAACTTATAAGTTCATAAAATTTTTGCCGTCACAAGAATGTGGAGAATACAGAGGCAGCAGAAGTAATTCCAAAGCAGGATTTTTTGACAACGTTTTCTCAATGATGGAACTTTTCGTCGACGTTTGATTAACTTGAAGACCTATGAAGACTGAAAAATAGTAACTTTTATAGAAATAAAAAAGGGGGGGGGGAACAAAGTCTGCTATGATTTAAAAAATTCGACGTCTCTTCGATGTGGTTGATCTCAGCATCATTCTAGGTTCTTCTTCCTCTTTTTCTTTCTCTTTTTCCCGGCAATTCTTATCTCTGCGTGGCTCTTCATCATCAATAATCGCCTCGACGTCGTCTACATTTTCTTCCTCTTCTTCGAAGCTTGCCAGCTCGCGGGAGCTCTCGCATGCCTCACAGCAGCAATTTAGACGGATATTGGTGCTTTTGAGACCAGATTTCCGGCACCCGCAGCCTTTTGTGCAGCCGCAAAATATTGAGTTGAGCACTTTCTCCAGTGCTTACCCTAGGGACATATGGACAGGAGCAAGTTGGGCCCCCTCTAAGCGCCAACCCCAGTCCTGAGGAGGTAATTAATTAACCACTCCTTTATCAGCAGTTTGGTGGAACTCTTGAACTCGAACCGGGGAAGTAAAAGTCCATTTTTCAGCCAGCAGATTGTATGGCTCTACCATGTATTGCAGCAATTGGTCGCCCAGCCACAGTTGTATTTGGTGGAAAGCCCGGAAACTATGGAACTTGGTCGCATCTTCCGAGTGCGGCAATGACTCCAGGCGGTTCTTCTTTCCTTTCAATGAATTTTTTTGAATGAACGAAAACGAAGTTTGTCTAATGAGTCATTTTGTTTCTTCGCACCATATGGACGTAACAGAATTTTGCTACCGGACTCAGAGATGGAGTTGGACGTTGAGCCTTTATCCTTAAAATGACCCGCGAAATCTTGAATGTCTTCATTTTTTTCTATTAAATGGCAGAGCGTTTACTTAGGTGCTCTTCCCCTCTCTCCCCCCTCTCCAAAGGCGGCGCGCTCATTCTCCCCCCCTTAAAATGACGATAAGTCATTTTAACTATCAAAGGCTACAAGCGACGGCGGAAAAGGCTCCCAACTC